TGGATTGCCGGGCACAGTTGTTGGCGCTGACCGAGTTTTTGGCCATCGTGAATTGACAGCGAGTCGGCGACAACCGAATTAAAAAAAGCATATTATCTCAGTCGTGGTTGAAGACTGCTAGGTACCCTAGTATAGAAAAATCATATGATATCGACGAGTTAGGATCGTGTATGTGACGGAAAAATATCGGCTCACAATTCAGTCATGTATTCGAAGACATTGTTATATTCGCGTGCGGGGAGGTCGACGGAATTGGCAAAATGGATCGTCAGTTCTGATCCAGCGCTACACGGCGATTGCTCCGCTTACTACCACTTGCCGGCTGACCATCCAAAGGTTCGTGCAGAGCTTTGTAAGAAGTTTGCAATTTGAAGGACCAATTGAGGCCTACTAGAGTCCACTAAGGTCCACATGGTTTCTAATGTGAGACGTCAGCACCTTATTCGAAAGTGTTGCATGTGGGTATGGTGACTTGGTCTCGCCGTGAAGAACTTTGTAACGAATTTGCAATTTCAGCACCCTGCCAGTGGGGACACAAATATATAACAACAGTTTATAACCCTGGTTGGAGATAGGAGATAAGGGATAATGTGATCAGTACTACACGTTCTTGGAACAATGTCTTATTGTATGCACTGATGCGATGTTACCTCGTCGACCACACTGCTTATCAACAATTTTTTTTCGCTAGCAGGAGCATCCTTAAAACCAACGTAAGGCAATGAGTATAGGAAGCAATTAATATTGCTGTGGCGGCGGCATGCAGCTAAGGTGAAAGGTCTTAGCTTGCCGCATGGTGAACTATCATGCATTATCTAGTAGCTTCGATCCCGGAGCTTCAAATCTCTTCTTCATCTTCCCTGCCTTATTAATACCCATCCAGGGTGAAACGGGTGGTGATGTTCGCGGGAGCATAAGCGCCATCGAGTAACTGTATGATACATATTATTCAAATGGTCGTATCCACAGCCGAAATGAAAGTTATTCAAGTTGCCTAGTTGAAGGAAGTTGGGTGGAGTTCATTTACATGGGCGGCGCGGTGTTATGGTTCAGATAGTTTCACTATCAGTGATGCATGCATGGGTACTCCTCTAGGGAAATTTATTTGAATTGAATTTCCGCGCTCGCAACGATGATTGCCCAGCGAGGGGTACTCATTGCCAATACGTTGGGTTCGAGCGAAATATGACAAATAATTGTCGACGCCAACGATTTAATAACATACAATGGCGATCCGGGTGTTGCTATAAGTTGCTGTGCGAGGAAAATTCATACTCCCGGAGAGCGGCGTATGTATCGTCATACCAGGCCATGTACCTTAAACATCGATTATTGCCCACCCAGACAATTTCTAGAAAACCCTTGTATGGTATCAAAAATCAGAGAGTAGTAAACAAAGCGAGCGTACATCTCGTGCGTCGCCTGTTGCGCAAGGCAGACTGTTGTTCCTTTTGTGCTTCAGCTTGCACTATCATTAGCACAGCCCAGCAACTTACTCTAAGTTGCTTAGACAGCAACAGAGGAAGGCTAGCCTTGAATTGGCAAAGTGGATACCATGCAAGGCTTTCACAAGCATGAACAGCCACCCTGGACGACCAGATTGAACGAAAACAGTCCTGTCTTCTTTATTATGCTGACTGTCTAAAGAATGAGCAATGAAGTCCTCTAGAACAAAAACAGGAAATTTCTTGTTTTTTTTTTGACTTGAGATGTGCTGATATTGTTGATCAGCATGTGATAGATATCGAATCATTTTGACTTTACGGACGACACCGATTGGATGGCAAGAACCTCGCCATAGAAAACCGAACACATTAATTCAGCGTTACGACAGCGATGACTGGAAAAACTTAAAACCGCACACATGTGTAAGGCGATGAATTAGATGACAAGCAGTAACTTATGGGCTCTTGGGAAGACGGAAAAACCTAAAACCGCGCACATGGCACATGCGTAAGGTAACAGCCTAGACGACAAGTAGTAACTTACGAGTTTCTTGCGGGGATAGATTTACAGCGATGTAGGATGTATCTGGTCAAGTACCTTCACTAAGTCCACGTTCTGCTGCTAGACCCAACCTTATCTTATCAGATATGGGTCTTGCGGGCGCTAAATGAACGTGAGTTCTTGCAGGCGTCAGAGGTGAATATGCGACATGTCGAACGGGGGCAGTATGCATAAGTTACGAGCATGGTAAACGTACACCGACATTCGAGGAGGTAGCTGCATCCTGAACAGGGACAATGAGTAGGTTTGACCCACAACAAATCGTAACGAACCGGAGCTATGATACATCTTGGCGATTACCACGGAGACTAATGGGTTATTAGTATTATTAGTAGTCCTGGTGAATGAATGAGTTTGTTGGATTCGCTGTGAGGAGGGGATCAGATCGTGATGAAGGACAAGGTTAATTGCACCAACGACTCGAATCGATGTTCGAGGATCACTAACGTTATTCTGGAGAAGATCTTCGGGAAAGCGGATGGCATGGGGGTTTGGGTGTATTTGTGTCCGCAGCGTGGACCCGTTAAGTCCGTTAAATGTCAGGTCCCTTGGGGGTGTCATCTTTTTTCGGATCGGCGGGCACATGCGGAGGCACTTCTTCATTCCTTCATTCCATCGTGTTCCATCGATTATGGGTGTTGTTGAGATAGTTTAGAGGACTGCCAGACATCGTTGGAGAGGGTGTTGAGAGTAACGCCACAGCGAGGTAGATAGTTTAGCGTGACATGTGACAGGGAAGTGTGACTGTACATTGTGTTGACTGTTGGCTTGTTTTTTCGCGCAAGCAGGCAAGACACGACAACCATTGGCGACCTGTCACCACGCCATTCTAGCCCTTGATTCAAGGGCATTACAGGATAACACAAGATACTTCAATTTTACTACTTTAACGCTTCAACTGGGTCTGTGCGTTATTCTTTTGCCGAGTTTCGTTCCCTGGGAACAGTTCCGCAGCAGTCGTTCCGAGTTACTTTTGAGTCGCAGGACAGGTTTTTTGTTGGTAAGTGAAATCCATTGGTACAATCAAAAGTAAACGCAGGAGCATGCCCGCGCTTTCCGGCCGGTCAATAAAATCTCATCATATCCATTTTCTCGTTTAGCATTTGTTATCACAGATCTTCGACGCTATCTCTCGATCCGAATTCCTCTAACTTGGTCAGAACCTGTTGTAAAACGTAAGCTCCACTTGTCCCCTCTACCGTCCCCCCATGTTAACTATATGTTCCCGTCTAGTACTAACGTCTGGGTCGGGCGCTAACGACCCTAAACTCGTGCGTCTCTCATGCATGTCATAGTTGGACACTGTCCTCATCAACATCTAATACCTTAGACGACTTACAATGAACTACCCCCCGCAATTAGCAATGCAACCTAGTTCAACTCAACTAGGTCACAATCAATTCTCCCAACGACCTACCTCCTCCAGCATGTCCTTTGGAATGCCCACGAACACCAATCCCGGCATCTCCCAAATGAACGGTGCAAACATGCCCATGAATCCCGGCAACAACATGGGTGTACCCATGAACCCAGCCATGTCGATGAATCCACACAACATGTCCATGAACAACATGCCGATGAACATGAACATGAACAATATCAATCCATCCATCCTCGCCGCTTTTCAGAACCCCCAAAATTCACAGAATGGCATGATGGCCAAATTTCCAAACTACCAGGCCTCTCAGCAGTCCATCCCCCCTTCCACGCCTAATCTTGGTTCAACGCAGGGCCAGGGCCAGTCCATATCGCCTTCGCAGCTCATGTCAGCTTCCCCGTCACAGCTTATGGCTCAACAACTACATTCGCAAGGCTCTAATTTGACGCTCACCCCTGCGCAGCTCCTTCAACAGCAGCAAGGCGGCATGAGCCAAGCCTCTATGGGCACCATGCACCCGGGTATGAGCGGAATGGCCGGGATGAACATGGGTGCCGGTGGAATGCAGAATTTGAATATTGGCAACGCCATGCCCAATATCAACGGAGGTGCGATGAACATGCCTACCGGTATGCAGAACATGAGCGCCAACATGGGCATGTCCAACATGATGAGCGGTATGCCAAACCTCAGCAACCCTCAGGTACGCATGCCCATAACGCCTCAGCGTTGGGCGCAGATGTCGCCGCAGGATCGTGCCCTCTTCCAGCACCAACGGCATCAACTTAGCCTAGCTCAACCGCCAAGCGCTCCTAATCAGCAACATCACGAGCGGGGCCCAAGCCTGACGCACGATCGCCCACCGAGCCAACATGGGAGACACGACCGTGCCTCAAGTCAATCCCATGACAGGCAGCCCAGCCAGCAGCCGCAGGACATCTCTCAGGTCACTGATCGCCCCTCCTCATCTGCGTCCATTCGCTCCCATCACTCCCATCATAACCTTGATTCTGGCTTGATGCCCCCACCATCCTCTCGACCCGGTACTTCTAGCAGCGGCATGGGTGTTCCAAACGTTAATCCACGGATGAATCAGCAATCCATGAATCTAAACCCGCACCTCAACATGCCGCCCAGTGCCAACATCAATCCTAACATGAACGCCAGCAGTAACATCAACCCTCACATGAACCAGGCCTCGAATATCAACCCTGTGATGAACCCAATTCAGGCCCAGCAGAACATGAACTCCGTCATGCACATGAACATGGCTCCGTCGAATATTAACCCCGTGATGAACCAGGTTCAGAATATGGGTATGAATCCGCATCTGAATCACCCTCCGACGAGAGCGGATTCTGCGCATGGACTTGCTGCGTCGCCAAAGCAATCACCGAGGATGTCGGGGATGATGAATCTTGCTGGTGGCCCTCCTGGAGGCATGCCCGGTAGCATGGGCGGCCAGATCAACCTTGGAATGACAGGCATGCCAAGTGGTGGAATGGGAATGCATGGTGCCCCCATGAGTGGCGTCCCTGGTGGTGGCATGAACATGAGTATGGGCGGCAATATGAACACCGCCATGGGAGCAATGGGCAATGCTGGTGTAGGTAGCATGGGGAATGTACCCAGTATGGGCGGCATGGGTAATCTTGGCTCAGTGAACATGAATGCCAACACTATCGGCGGTTTAGGAGCCGGTGGCAGCATGCTAGGCGGAGCGGGGGGAGGTCTTATGGGCCCCCCTGTGATTCCTCAATCCATTCAGCGACCAGAAAGAGACCAAATAATGCAGAGAGAACGCTCGAGCTCGCTCCATGCACGTGAACAGGTGAGGAGTGCACCTCCGTCATTCACGTATCGTAAACTGACTCGGCAATCGTTATTTCACCCGTTATTGCGTTGCCGTGCTCCAGAGTATACCTCCGGCGTCTGCTGCACCGTTTATGGGTCAGAGTCTTGATAATGCCAGCGTCCAGGGATTGGGAAATATGGCTGGTGGCATGGGTGGCATGCCTCGGCAACAATCCCAACCGCCAATCAACGCGCATCAACAATCCCCTGCCCGTCAAATCCCCTCCGGCCACCGTTCCCCCATGCCCCTTGTTCGCAAGGCCGGAGAGATACCCGCCACACCGGCGCTTTCCGGCACCCCAAACCCCGCCGCACCACATCCAGGCGCAGCTGCGGTCCCGAAACTCCCCCCTCATCTTGCAGGGCTCAATCCCGCCGTAACCAAGATCTCGTTAATCCCTTACACCGTACATTCGAAACCCGAAGCAATCACCGATGGGGAAGACGAGAAGGTGCCTGTCGAAGGTGCGACTGATTCCGAAGACGCTGTTACTTCCTCGCAGGTCAAAGTCGAAGATCCAGTAACATTGCTGACCCCATCGGAGATCACCATGTTGAAGGAAATCATGAAGCGCGATACAGCATACGATGCACTACACCGTACCAAACAAGCACGTATGGCCCAGGAATTGCGCACGCATGGTCCTGCGTCGCGAAGTGCCTGGTGGGAACGTGATCACGTTCCGACCATGGGCATGAACCGTAGGCCCGAACGTTTCGATGTGAGATATCCAAGAGCACCCAATGCGGACCGGGGCTCGAATATCAATTCGAGGAAGAAAGGTGTGAGGAGAGAAGGCATTCGGATGTGAGTTTTTGCTGTGTCTTCTTTTGTTTGGGGAGATTGATTGATTCCCGCGGGTTCAATAGCCCTAGGAAGCTTCCACCTCAGCTGGCCAACCGCCCTGAGCAACTCGTGCCGATCAGACTTGAGTTCGATGTGGAGCATCATAAGATGCGCGAGACCTTTGTATGGAATCTGAATGGTAAGCCTCTTGCCTAGAGTAGCTTTCGTTGCTGACGTCGTTTAGATCCTGTCATCACTCCCGAGCATTTTGCGCAGACGCTCATCGAGGATTATGCGCTACCCCAGAGTTATCACGGTGTCATCACGAGAGCGATTCAAGAGCAGTTGAGCGACTTCAAGGCTCATATTGCCCGCGTTGACGGCGACTGGAAACCTCCATCCTCAGCGAGGGAGATGGCGCTGACGGACGGCTATAAGGCAGACGAAGAAGACGGGAATGACGCGGACATGCGGGAGACGGACGCTGACGACATTGCCGACGACTATAATCGCAAGCTTCTTGAAGATGATGACCTGACCATGGTGGACCGGGGTAGTCTTGACGACGAGGACGTGAAATGGTGGGAATCATGGCGCAAGCGATCACGGCAAGAAAGCGCATTTACTCGCAGCATATCCTTGAGGAATCAACGTAAGCGTCGTAAGGTGACCTCAGTCACAGTCGAGGAAAGTGACGCATTCGAGACTGACAAGGAAATACCACACATTGTGGATGAGATCGAGATCGATGAGAAGACGGTGCATGAGGATTTACGGATCTTAATCAAGGTATTTGATTGATCCTCGCTTGCATTTTTGTGGACTGGTGCTAATATTTGATCTTAGCTCGACATTATCGTCGGATCTATGAAGCTCGATGATCAGTTTGAATGGGACCTTGAGAATGTGGATGCTTCCCCTGAACAATTCGCGGACATATATGTGAAAGAGTTGGGCCTTGGTGGGGAATTCAAGTGCGTAGCGTTGTGTGTCCATGACTTCGTCACTGATCTCTTCTCTAGAACGGCCATCGCACATTGCATACGCGAACAAGTTCAAATTTATCAAAAATCGCTGTTCCTCGTTGGTCACCCCTCAGATGGTTCTACCGTCCAAGACGATGACCTGCGCATGTCCTTCCTGCCCAGCCTTGCATCCGGCGCTAGAGCAATGGATCAAGTACCATCGTTCACACCTTTGCTCAACTATCTCAGCGACGGCGAGATTGAACGTAGTGAGAAGGAGAGGGAGAAAGAGCTCACCAAGCGCAGGAAACGGAATACTCGAGGACGTCGAGGTATTGCCTTGCCAGATCGGGAGCCTAATCGCACGTACCGCACGCCTGCCTTGGGTTTCCCAGAGCTGGATGCTGCAACCCTTGCGTTGGCCGCTGCGAACGCGCCAACTACTTCGAGACGTGCTGCGGCCGCCGCCGCTTCTCTCACGATTGCCAACATGGTTGCCTCAGAAAATGGCACAAGCGTCATGCCGCTGCAGCTGCCTCCCCAGCAGATCATATCTACTGCTGTCACTACTGGAAAAGAGAAGAAACCGAAAGGGTTGTTCAAGGCGCCATCGTATCCTTCTTCTGTCCTTCGGCCTCGTGCTCAGGTCACTGCTCCCACACCATCGACAGCGGTTGAATCGACGTCGATGTTGCCTCCATCGTTCCTTGATACTGAAGCACCTGCCTCCTCAGTTAGTATCCCTGCCCCCGATTCGCGAGCTGTCGCAAAGAAGGCCAAGGAGCTCGAAAGGGAGGCTAAGGAAAAAGAATTTGTCGACGGACAGCATGCTAATGTGATCAATGGGGTGTGGCACTGCTCTAACTGTGGCTGTCCGGATAGCGTTGCCATCGGACGAAGAAAGGGTCCTTTGGGCGACAAATCACAATGTGGCACATGCGGTGCGTTGATACTATTGGCTAATTAATAGTACAATTCTTCCTGACGCTTCATCGTTATTCAGGCAAATTCTGGCATCGACACCGCAGACCACGTCCTGTAACATATAACCAAGATCCTGATTACCATTTGAGCCTCAGGCGCGAAACAGAACAGGTTAAAACCGGGGTGAAACGAAAAGGACGAGCGCCGAATTCTCAGGTGGCTGCTGATGGCCAAGATACGCCTAGTCGACAGAAATTAGACCTTTTCGTCGATATCTCTACTCGATTGCCTGTACCGGCTTCCGAAGACGACAGAGCCATGTCGCCAGTATCGACTGCGTCTAGTGATACAGAAGCTCCTCTTGCCCAACGCGTCACAAAAGTCAATGGTGCCAATCACGCAGGAGTTGCGTCGTCATCTGGGACCCCTCCTCCAACAAGCAACGGGATTGTACGTCCCAAGTCACCCAGGGAAAGTAGTGCTCCACTTCCAAACGGCTCATACGTGAGCGTTTTCCCTCTGAGACCAGGATCTTATTGATGCTGAATGTTAAGTGAACAGGCCCCTCCGCCATGGCTAACCACGGCAATTCGTTCGCTTCAAGAACAATACCCAGATGACAAGTTCGAAGCAATCCTACGTCGAGCTCCCCCGCGTACTGTATTAGAGTGGAGGATGAAATGTCTGGATTGCCCCGGCAAGGTTCGTCCACATCACTAGACTTGGACCAACGCAGACTTATTTGGTTTGCAGTTATATAACTCTGGGCCTGGGGATACGCTGCAGAACTATGAAGTCCATCTCAGAAACCGACAACATCGCTTACGGGTGAACTCCCGCCTGACGCAGGCGCCAGCATCATAACGGACGATTTGCATTGTATTGGCTGGCTTGCGCTATTTTAGTATTTTTCTTTGTGCCATTTGTTGTGCTCATCTGCTATCTGTATAACGTATATACCTTTGCTTGTAATCGCTATTGGATTACGTAACCCTGGTCGTCTGCAATGATTAAGCTAAGCCAATTCAATTACGATATAGTACATCAAGCGTTCAAGCTTCACTTGTAACGACTCTTTATCTCCCTACTCTGACCATGTCTGACATGATAGTTTGGCGACCAGAAGATGATCCAAACATCAGACCCCCGCTTCAGGAAGGCCAGGTGAATAGGCCAGACATACTCAATGTGATTGAGACGTCAATCGACGGACTGAGTGGAGAGCTGAGGATGCTAAGTCTCGATATCCATGGTAATCACCGTGCTTCCATTTTTATCAACGCATCCTACGCTCACACATCTTCGAAAGACCATCCAGAGCTGATGTTTGAAGAAAAGTATGTTGTATCTCATCATGCCATATGTCATAGCTAAGAGCATTGTCACAGATATGCCCATGACGCATACACTGCGTTCATGGAAAAACATGGTTTCACAGTTATCAAAAATCATCATCTTGAGACTGCCTGGGTGGCTACATACACCCATGGACGGGGAGGGCGCGTTTTGGGTATCAACTCTGAGATGGATGCGCTCCCTGGAATCGGACACGCTTGTGGACACAATCTTGTTGGGATATCTGGAGTGGCGGTAGCCGTTGCAGCTAAAGCTGCCATGGAGAGGCTGAACATCGATGGAAAGGTGGTTCTGCTCGGTACACCTGGTGTGTCGTGTCTGCATTCGTGACGTCATCGGCAAGATAACATGGGGCAGCCGAGGAGGGTGGCCTTGGCAAGGTCATACTGTATGAAAAGGGGGCATACGATGAGATGGACGTGTGCCTCATGTTAGTTCCTTTACTTGTCAGATGACCAGCATGACTTAACCTACCTTGGAGGTCCCATCCCACACCTGGCCCCCGCCATTTCATTAGTTTAACTAACTGCTTGGCTTTTTCTTTCATCACTGTAAAGTATCAAGGCCATACGTGAGCGTCTTTCATACTCTTTATCAACTAGTGCGATCTAATTCTTTACATTAACAGTGCTCACGCTGGGTTGAGTCCTTGGGAGGGAACAAATGCACTTGATGCGGCTGTCCTAGCATATAATAATGTCTCTCTTCTTCGTCAACAGATTAAACCTACTCATCGCGTGCACGGCATCTTCGAAGGAAATAATTGGGCTCCAAACAGTGAGATTTTCACATACTCCATAGAAACACCTGGAAGATAATATTTGGAAAATCAGTCATCCCAGACCAAGCTACAATGAAGTAAGTCGGTCTCAGGAACCACTCGCTTAGAGCGCCCTAGACTCCAGTGTAGGTGGATAGTCCGCGCTCCCACGACGGCAGAGATGGAAGACACCGGGCGGCGTGTTACTGCCTGTTTCGAGTCAGTCTCCACTACCAACATGTTCAATTGATCAAACAGCGTGATATCTTTTCTCGTCACAGAGCAGCTGCACTTGCATCTGGATGCAAAGTGCAAATTACGGCTACACCGACAATCAACGAAGTCACGCAAAACAAAGCACTTGGTATGAGATCACGCAGTACAGTGACTTGATACTGATTATTGTCCCAGGTGATGAGCTTGCTGACGTTGTCCTGAAGCGTTATGGTGCTATAGATTACGAATGGGGTATCAAGAATGCTTCTACTGATTTTGTGAGTGTTTCGCACACTTAGAAAGTGCGACAGAGCTGACGTTTTGGACCAAAAAAGGGGAATATCTCATACTGTGTGTCTGACTTCCATGACCTGGGGAGGGAGTAGGTGACCTCTGCTAATGAAGTTCTTGTTCGTCAGTGATGCCTGGTCTTCACCCTGGTTTTTGTGAGTAGCGCAGGTTCCAAATAAACCATACTAATCACTTTTTCCAAGCCATCCCGACCATTCCAAATGGCGGGAACCATACCCCAGGATTCACGGAAGCCGCACGTTCCCAAGTATCCCATGACGCCTGTTTGGTGGTTTCGAAAGCACTTGCGGCCGTAGGCATGCGAGTGTTGACTGACGAAGCGTTCTTCCAGAAAGTATGTGTTATGCGTCGTTCGGGTAACTTTGTTTTGACTGTGTTTTGCAGGTGAAGGACACATTTGAAGAAGATAAGAAACTAAGAGTGTAGCTGCTAATCTTTGATGGGGGGGCCTGTAGGATCAGAAGGAAGAATTTGTGTATGTCAAACATATTTATATTGAGTATGTTTCTTCAGTTCTTTAGCTGACCTCCGATGATGAACACATGCATGATCAATTTGTCTTTAAAACGACTCGTAGAGTCCAAGCACGGTCACAGAGTTACTAGTAGGTTTCATTCACTTATTACGCCGTGGTTCAGCGTAGCAGCTACTAGTATTTGTCTCGTCTTCTCAAAAGTGTTGGCCATGGCATGACTATCCTCACACTGGCAGCTGTGGTGTTTCACATCAAGATTTCCACGGCGTGCTTTGCTATATAATATGGGTATATTCTCTGTTCGGAAGTTCCAACTGGACGTCTTAGGGTGCGGGTATGTGCCTCATCCATGATCGTCACCGGCCCGCTTTCGTTGATGTCGTTCGTACCGGTCAGTCCCGAATCCCGACTCCGAGTCAGCGCTAGAAGTTCAACGTCCAGACCACAAGATCTCGAAGTTCTAATCCTGGAAAAGAATTTTGTCCAAAGATATGGCCAGTGTCAGTTGGCCTGAGATTATCAGTCTCCGCCAGTACTAATTGCCGGTCTGGAATTGACTATCATTCTAACTCTTTCAAGTTGTTTCTGACATGACAATAGGTCAAGCTGATATTCTTTGGCGGCCAGAAGATGATTATAAGGTCAAACCGACACTGGAAGAAGGGGACATTTATCGACCAGATATCCTCAAGGTCGTAGAAACTGTTATCGATAGTCTCAGTGGCGCGCTACGGGAACTGAGTCTCGATATTCATGGTAAGATGATCATGTATTTCACCCATAAGAAACACCGATATACTAGTGGATGTGCAGATCATCCGGAGCTTAGATATGAAGAAAGGTATGCCCGCATCTCGAACCCAAATTGCAACCAATCGGCGGGCAATCAAACTAATTATCGGTCGCTCAGATACGCTCATGATGCATATACCTCCTTCCTAGAGAAGCACGGTTTCGAAGTCACGAGGCATCACCTTCTGGAGACTGCATGGGTGGCGACCTACACCCACGGGCTGGGCGGACGCGTTCTAGGGGTGAACTCAGAGATGGATGCGCTCCCGGGCATTGGACATGCATGTGGACATAATCTCATCGGCATCGCAGGTGTCGCCGTCGCCTGTGCGGCAAAAGCAGCCATGGAACAGCTTAATATCGACGGGAAGGTGATTCTTCTTGGTACACCTGGTATGTCATTTTCTCCTGATCGTGATGGATAGATCACGATCCTCACATACCCTCAATAGCTGAAGAAGGTGGGATTGGGAAAGTGAAGCTGTGGGAGAGGGGAGCGTACAAAGAGATGGACGCGTGTCTTATGTCCGTGACCAGACCTGGCTGACCTCTGTCATTTTCTCGTCGACTCACGCTCATGATAGGTGCCATCCTGGTCCTGGGCCTCTCCATTCCATCAGTTTGAGCAGCTGCCTTGCAGTTATACGCCTGGAGATAGATTACTCAGGCCACACGTGCGGTCTCCCAATGTCCATCTGGCTTGAAATTTGACTCGTTCCTCATAGTGCGCACGCTGCACTTAGCCCCTGGGAAGGAAAGAATGCGCTGGATGCAGCTGTTCTGGCATATACAAACATCGCTTTACTGCGCCAGCAGATTAAGCCTACGCATCGTGTGCATGGAATTATTCAGGGCCATGATTGGGCACAGAGTAGTAAGTGTCTGTCATTCAGCGCTGGATATGCATCTGAGAGCGTGTGCGACAGTCATCCCGGATAACTCAAAGATGTAGTAAGTGTGGGTTGACTCCAGGGACTTGACGCAGGCGGTGACATGCTTCAGTTATTATATCCGTGCGCCGACCACTGTTGAAGCGGAAGAGACGCTCAAGCGTGTCATTCCCTGTTTTGAGTGAGTTACCACCCGGTATTCGTGTCACCCTAATCCCAAATTTTTCACAGAGCAGCAGCACTTGCAACCGGGACGAAGGTTAAAGTTAACAGAGGACACACTGGGAACGAGCTTGTGCAGAATAAAGTCCTCGGTGTGTCTTCTTGATGGCAATCCCGTGATTCGTCCTATAATTTTCCCAGGTGACGAACTGTCTGATGTGGTTAGGAAGAAGTATGGCGCCATTGACTATGAATATGGGATCAGCGGTGCATCGACCGACTTTGTAAGTGTGCTTGTATAGTATCTCAAACAGGTTCACCAATTTCACTTTAGGGCAATATTTCATATTGTACGTCTTTGTCGTAATGTCTGGCAGATTTTGAAAGCCATTATCCACCAGTGATGCCTGGCCTACACCCCGGGTTTTGTTCGTACAGTTATCTTTTCTGTCTCCGATTATTACTGACTCCCGAACCACGTCACAGCGATACCAACGGTACCGGGAGGCGGTAACCATACTCCAGCATTCACCGACTCGGCACGTTCGCAGGCTGCTCACGATGCATGTCTCAGTGTCTCAAAGGCCCTCGCACATGTTGGCATGCGCGTGATCACAGACGGTAGATTTTTTCAGCAGGTAAGATGATGTCTCTGTCTAACTTTCTGATTGCTACAACATATTTGACTGCAGGTGAAAGATGCTTTTGAGGAGCGAAAGAACAACAGGATGTGACAAATGAACACAAGGCGCATATAGGCACCAACAACATAACTACATAGCAAGACTTACAAATCCAATGATTTCTGATTGCGCTTTGACTCCAGACTAAAACTTGCTGGTCGAGTTGCTCACCACTTTTCATGAGCAGGACGCACTGTTTGGAAGAGAGTGAAGACGGGGTAATGGCAAATTGGAGCTACGCTTACGGTCAATTTCCCAAGTCCAGGCTGAACTATCTTGTTCGACGAGGTGCAAGTACGACTGAGGGGTGTGATGAGTTTAGGTGCGTATTGCCGCAAGAATACTCAAACCTTGGCAATAGAATCAGGATCAAGTCGAACGTCCTGATCAGCCTCCCAAGAAGGGTTGTTGCGCTGAGATTTGGTGCGCTCAGTGATGATGGCTGTTCCTCATTAGATAATACTTTGAGGATGCTGACACTGTGCTTACTGCCGTCGATAATACTCTGAGCAGCGCGTTTGAACGTTCATAAATACTCTTAGCACCAGAAGGTAGGGACTCACATGAGCGACCTAAAAGTCAAGATATCAGTCCACAAACAATCCCAAGATGATGCAGAAGACACCCACATGTATATTCTTCTTGGCGAACTCCTTGGCTAAGCTCTGCGACAAGGCCCTTATCCCGAACTTGCTCGCAGAAAATGCAGAGGTCAGGACGTTGCCTCGGATAGAAGCCGTTGCGCCAGTGAAAATAAGGGTGCCCCTTTTACGAGCATTGCCAGCAACTCCGCCCTCATTCGCGGTCTCAAGCTCGAGCTTTGTGAACTCAAGAAGAGCCTCGCGTGCAAAGGCAAAAGCCGCTAAAATGTTAGTGTCGATCGACTCACGAACTTCGTCTTCCGTGATATCAAGGAATGGCTTCCAAACACCGTAGCCCGCGTTGAAGACCGCGACACGGAGAGGGGATGATGGCCAGCGAGACTTGAGGGAAGCGAACGCTGACTTGATGGATGCTGTGGTGTAGTTTTGAAGAGGGAATGCTGCAGCCTGTTCCAAAGGATCTGTTCAACGTGACTGAATAGGAGCGCATATGGATAGAAGTCAGCACCTCTCCGCCTGCTTGGTTGATCTCTGCAGCGAGTTTATCGAGGTACTCTGGTCCTCGAGAGATAAGGGCGACTCTGTAGCCAGATTTGGCGAAGAGACGGCTGTCATACTATCAGTACAAGTTGGCGAGGAAGGAGGTAGTACTATGTACGCGGTTGCAGCTCCGGTGCCTGTGCAAGACGTCAGGCACGCGTATTTGTACCCACTGAGAAGGACTTACCGGTGCCATTGCCGATACCAGCGACCACGAACAAGGGGCGGACTAAGGACATCTTTCAGGCTGATGAAGTTATGAGAAGAGAGGAGAGTATGATAATATCGAACTGGGCGTCTCGTATTTATAAGCCCTCTCAATGCGCAATCAGTCGTAATCATGATCACAGCGCTAGTAGGAATCGTCATCGTTGTCAGCATCATCGACTCGGATGACTTCATCACTCGTGAGGCCTCATATGATCTGTAATGCCTCTGTCATCATCATGAAAGTCTCCCATGCCTCTGCAGAATCCAAGCTCAAGTCCGAGGAGTGAGTGTTTTGCAGATGCTGCGGGCTTAGCGCTTATCACGGGGTCTGTGCTTCGGATACACTGTTTGCTCACCACCACCTATTCCAAAGAAACAATGCAGCCAAAGCAGAATAATACATTTATGCAGTACTTTATGCATTATGACCCTTCCTATCAATTTGTTACCCCATAATGTACATAGGCCATGCATGCGTTATGTATACCATTACGTGGGATCATCAAAAAGTCGATGCATTATAAGATCTATGCATTGATATGATATGCATTGTGAGCATGTCTTTTGCGAGGTACAATGGCACATACTGTAACGTCTCGGCCGGGCAAGCAGAAAGTTTGGGCTGCTGAACAAGGCTTTGACATCATGGAAGGAGTCTGGCTCTACTGCTTCCTGCCAAAAAAACGTGTATCCCAGAGTAAGGTGGAGTGAGGATTCTTGCCTAAAACGCGCGGTTTTTGTCGCGGCCAAGCCAGTGCCGGATACGAGAGGTACGAAATGTCGATTTTGTCACGGTGGTCCAATGTGCTGTCAATACCTCTGTAGAAGCTCAGAAACTCGAATTTTGCAGCTAAAAATTATCTCTTGCACGACGCCAGGAAATTCCTGGCCTTTTGCCTCTTGCATAAGAGCGATGTAAAGGTTGCTTTCCATTTAGGCCACATTGCTCCTTAGGGCGACGAGGTTGGCTTTGGGATAATCATGCATCGAATATTAAGCCATCGTTTACCGGTATGCTATCATCAAGTTGCGCGTAGGAGTTAGAGTTCAGCCAGCTCAGGGGGGAAACGAACAGTCTGGTTAAGACACGCGCCCAATTACTTATCACGAAGACGTCTGCCTTGGAAAGAAAACAAGTCTATTTCGGAACTGGTGAATCTAACATGATACCTCAGTGGTGGTGGTCACCAAGTGCAATATGTCCAGCCTTGCTGTTTTGCCAAGCGTAACGACTGTTGCCCCACGTGTATGTTCCATATCCTGTAACCCGATGAGGTGGTTTATGAATGGATGCAACAGGTGACACGCACCGATAGCAAAGGGGACTATCCAGTAGGGAACTTGGGCAGCAAGACGCCTGTAGCCGTTGAATAGCCAGCCTCTAATTACAGCTTTTGAGCCGCGCTGTCTGAATGGTGAGACAGCTACCAGTGTCGAAATACGGAGAGAAAAAGAAGCCGCATTATGGTGAGAACACGACGACAATTGACGCGACAGATACAAAGCACGACCCGAAGTTAGTTGCTTGCTTCAAGAGGACAGTGGGATAGATGACGCACTGTAGACAACCACTCCTCTCTGTTTATGTATGCTGGTGTCACCCCACCAAGGGCTCTGTGGAAGAAGAGGTAAGAACAGCAGCATGATGTTTGGGCTGCAAGATAACCCACAAATGATTTAGCTGTAAGCTCGAAATTAGTATAACTGTTCCATAGCAAAAATGAAAAAACATACCTCCGGGCATTCCATCTAGACGTGTAGCAGTGGGACGCATGATGGGCGAAGTAGTACACCGACGTTGGCTGAGTCGCAGGTGCGGCGTTGGATGTTTAGTACCCGATGTCTTCCGGAACAAACAAGAACAACTAACGCCAGATTTTGTCACATCACACATATGTGACATGGTTAACTGCTTTATTTTGAAGTGTTTTGACCAACAACGACTACCAAGCCAAAAGTACGTGTCATATGTAATAACCGTCGACCTCAATATCTGAACCATGATTGACTAGGTCACGCCCACTCCTTTGCTTCCAAAATGATAAGCCACCAGACGCTGTACAACCTAGCGAACTATCTTGGTGCCCTTGCTATGATCACCGTAGTCGCATACCATTTCGTCGCTGTGAACGCAAGATATCTTGCTAAGAACGCCAGCAGTTAAAGTTGCAGAGGGTGTACGAATGATTGTGAGGATTGCATCTGTAAAGTATGTCGTCAAAGTCCTTTCTAGCTTATGTCCGTCCGCTGATACATATTTATCCATTCAGTAGCTCTACTTACTGTTTCGTCAATCATACTGCGACTGCTCTCTCCAACCTATGGTCTTATAGACAGTGAACGACGAAAACAATATGTCCATTGCGCGTCTATGCACCATATTGCCCATGCTATACTGACCCCTCTTCACTGATCCACTGCGACCTCCGGGCTCGCATCATGGCCTCGGTTCTGTGAGGCTGATTTTGCATAACCTCCGTTTCGAGATTATTGTTCTGCTTCTTCTTACAACAACAATACAAGCATGCAAGCACGCGCCCAGGCACCCACAGCAATGTTCAACAATGAGAAACTACTGGGGTTGATGTGCACATCACGCACAACAACAGGTTATAAGGCTAAGGATGATATCACAGCAGTTGAACATGGATGTATTGTGTGAGTACAGGTTGACGACCTTTCAAACATGCTTAACAAGCGGTGCGACGTCTGGGTATCGATATCTTCGATCGATTTCCGCTGGAACAGGTTGCTCATTGGGCATGTATTATTGAACGTTGGGGATCATTATGTTCCGCTAGGGAATTTGGCGTGGGTAAATTTGCCCAGCTAATTTGTCTCGCTAATTTCCCGTGATTGCAAACAGGATCATTGAATTTCAAGGCTTCGATCGAAACCAGGTGTCAACTTCCCAAGGGTCGGTTCGGCTAGATAACAGCTGTAAATATGGCGCAGGACTTGGTCAAAATATCATATTAATCTGATCGGTTGCCGACTCGTCATGTTATGAAGTTCAGTCACTGAAATATTAAAGGCCGTCATCACGAAACTCCATGCATCAAAATTTCAAGGATCGACTAGCTTGATGGTACAGACATCGAAATAGATTACGCCACTGCAACTCGACCAGCCGCTATGCTGTCTTTGAACACCTGCAAACTTGATGAATCATCCTCGTACGCCAAGGTGCTGGTTTCTCTATGTGGAATATAACCCCGATCAGTGTCGAAGAGGACATATCTGTGATCGCCGTTGTTAACGACGAGCTCTGTCAAACTGGTGAGTTCGGCAGCCCATCGCTGCCAGATGGTCGACCACTGCCTGATATCAGTTGCTGGGTCCGGCACGTAGCATGCGCATGATTGCAGCTCAAGTCGCTGCAGGGTATCCTTGTGACGGATGACAAACTCCTCAACACCATCAAATGAGGGCGCATGATCGAAGATTATATTTTCGAGCATGAGTGATTCGAGGGATGGATAGTAGAATGAAGAAAGCCGAGTAGCCAGGCTGTGGTAGGCGCCTTGGGGGCTACGTAGCACAATTGATTTCAGAGTGGGATTGGAGGGAGGCAAGAGTGCTCCAAGTGAACCGTTGATGTTATTTGAAGCTGACCAAGCACTGAGTTCGGCATTGGACACAACTGACACAGAAATATGCGACAGGGGCGAATCTACAAGGGACGACACGAAGTCGTAGCCAGTGGGAGGCAAAATCACGTTGTTGAAGGACAAGGCAGTTAGACGAGATGTCTTCATACCGTGATAAATGGCGTGAAGGAGGGTGAGCTGCCGATTTATGAACCAAAATGGGTTCTCGCAGACCTCTCTCCCCGACTCCTGGCAGAGAAATGACGGCCAAAAGTTGAGCACGACGCTTTCAATTTTCGGAAGTGCGGTTATTCCGCAAAATGCATCAGTCAGTACTTCTTCAAGCTCACTGCCAGCATCCGCGGAATCTATGCATACGGCCCTGATTAGACTCTGGAGCGTGGGCAATTGGAAACTGACTTGCCTACATTGTCGGGTGGAAGCCGGAAGCACTCATTGTCACGAGAATCGTAGACAACTTCTCGAACATGAATAGCAAGGCTTGCGGCAGCAATGATCTGGCGGCAATTTTGTGCACTCTGTATACTATTTTTGATGTGAAGCTTGCTGAATGCGTGGGGAGTGACGAGCTCTCTATATGACCGGTTTAAGCTGCGTAAATGAAGAAGATCGACTGTCGCGGAAACGTCCTGAACGACAGCGCTAACAAGTTCGATGGGTAGATCTCGCATTATGTGGAGGGGGGATGGATTTGATATCGTGATGTTTTGGTTCGGTCAAGTTCCATTCTTATAATCCAGGCGTAACCGTGGAGCAAGATAACAAGCTTGTTCCCATTTGAAAATGAATAGGATACGTAGATTCTTCAGATTCGTATATGCGCCGTATACAGATGATTCGTCACAAGTCCCATTTTGGCGACTGTTGATCTATCAATATTGCCATCGTTCCGGTCTATATATAGGAACACACCCGAATACTCTGACGAGCTACGCATCCGGACCATATAATCATAATTGAGGTTCCCACAAGCCGCGTACTAGTCATACAAATTTTACTGGTGACATCCTCTCTGCATCTGTGAGGAAATCGGATAAAGGTTATTGAGATACTTACTACTGCTCTCCATGTGGTCCTCGGCGTGTTCGATCTTGACGATGAGGAAAGTCCTGCTATATTGGCGCAGCGCGCTACCTTCTGATTTCGATTGACTGCCCGCGATCACATTCACGCTCTAGGCCACCGAGTTTCTCCTCGAAGCCAGTCGAAGCCTCGTTACTTGTGCATTTGATAACTCCAATAGGGTGGTCAGGTACGTGGAGCACGGCGACCGCGTCGCTTAAAATGACAGATTGTAGGGATAAACGAATTACTTACACTATGGCGCCATGATAATTTGTGGCATGCTCGCTTTTCCTCCTCAAGAGCGGCGAGGAACTCATGACACCGGGTTTCTCGGCGCCAACTTGATGTATCCCACCCTGAGCTCATACAGTCCTTACAACTGCGACGTCGAGGATAGCTAGGACAACAGAAGGAGAGTTGTGAATGCATTCGAATCTGCTTGTAAATCGCATCTAAAGTTTCATGTACTCACCTGAAAGATGGTGCTCCTCAGTACTGTTACTCACCGAACCTGAGATACGATCTTTATACGTCATCCCGAGAGACGACCAGGTATTGTCCACCCCTAGTAATGAAGCTAGCACAATGTGTTGGTAGAGGTTGGGAGGCTCTGAGTTCCGAATAGTCAGATCTTGGATAGAGGAACATGGTCGTTCTTTCTAAACCAAGTGGACGGCTTCTGAAGGATGGCGCTTTAGCTCAACGTTCAATAATTGAGATGTAGTACAGTGTGCTAGAGCGTTGAGGCATTGAAAATGTTCGTCTTTGTGGTTGGCCTGTTAACTGATTGAAAACGTTCTATGCCTTCATCTGGTCCAGATAATTTTCGGTTGCTTGAATTTGGGTGTTATGAAGATAGTGTCTTGAGTCTTGACCACTTGGTAGGACGTTGCCAAAGCCGAATTTCCAAAAAAAGAATCCAGACTGCTAAGTATCTAGTCGCAGTGCTCGCCATCATCAATACATATTCCTTTTCGGCAATAGCATTTTCTTCGAGCACGTCCAAATCGACACCAGGCCTTGGTGATATGGCATCAGAAGCGGACCTCAAAGCCTTTATCGGTCGCCATCGTGAACTGCTCTCAAAGGAACGCAACGCAGAAATCGAGCGAACTGCTCTGCTGCTCACAAACTGCGGCCCCAAACTTCTGGAACAAAAAGGGCTTGCACTTGGGAGTCTGAGTGTGGTTGGAATCAACATAGGCCTAGGCGGGAAAACGTGTGGTGTCATTCATTTTCTTCGGCCTTTCCGTTTCCTGATTGCTGTCTTACGGAAAAGCGCAGATTAGTCGAACTAGAGCGTCCTACAGCGTTTCACACTTCACAGTTATTTCCTCCTCATAACTTCAGGTATGTCATTGATCACATACGTGAAAATTTTTGTAGTTCAGGTCTCAGAAAGACCGGGAGACCTCGCTCGTATCGAAGAGAATGTATCCTCGAATACTACCGCCAAAAAATCTGCAAAAAGTAAGAAGGCCCCAGCTGCTGGCGCTGAAAGCCCCCATACTGCAGAAGGTGTGGTATACAAAGTATGACCTTGTGCAATTCATTTAGGCGGTCACTGACTCGCGCACTCCAAAATAGGTGTCAGATACACGCATCGTCATTGCAGTGGACTCTTCAGATTCCAGATCAGACGATCTTGACCTTCCTGAACGCTGTCGAGTACTCAAATTGGCTAATAGCGTCACTTATGACAGGTAATCGCTCTGTTCTTTTTCCTATGCGAGTATATTAATATTAAACTGTACCATATTCAAGAATGGATAAAGCGCTCAGCCAATTAGAAAAAACCTGCGTTCCTTCATCAAGACAGGCAACTAAACCATACAACTCTGCTCTCCTGATTGCTAACAGCAGCTCAAACAGTCTAGTGACAAAGGTGACTATGAGCTGACACCTCTCATCCGAGTTTTACTCGGAATGTCACCACCTTCTGAAAAGATTCCTATTGCGGAGCTTAAGTTCTTCGACGAATCTCTCAATCCGAGCCAGCAACAAGCTGTCAAATTCTCCCTTGAATCCCAGGAAGTCGCTTGTATCCATGGTCCACCTGGTGAAGCTACCTGTCCTCCTACTGAATATAACCATCTGATGATAATAATAGGAACAGGGAAAACACATACCTTGATTGAAATTATACGACAACTCACCTCTCCTTCGGAGAATATCATCAATGAGAAACAGAAGCGCATCCTTGTGTGTGGCGCTTCCAACCTATCTGTCGATAATATCCTAGAGCGTCTTCTTGCCATACCACCTCCTGAGAGGGACAAGAGAATGATCTTGACAGCTACTCGCATAGGCCATCCCGCGCGCGTAATGGCTAATCAGGGCGTCTTAGAAGCAACGCTAGAAGTGAAGGCCAACAAGAGCGATCAAGTGATTCTACCCTAGCATCTGATAAGGTGGCTGGTGCTGAGACTTTGAGTTAGGCCGCACTTGCAAGGGACGTCAAAACTGAGATTGAATCAACGCTCGATGTGCTTGCTGGGAAGGGGAAAGGCTCCAAGAAACCGAGAGGTTCGGAACGCAAGAAGATGTGGGAGGAGGTAAAGGCTCTGAGGAAGGAGTAGGCACAGACACCTTGCTCAGACTCGGCGTGCGTACTCACCACTAGCCCAGATACAGACAGCGCGAAGGCGGAGTTATCAAGACTGTCCTTGGAGAGTCTCAGGTATGGCTTGTAATACTATCATGAGTCGCCGGGATGATCATTGATTAAGTGCAGGTCGTCCTTGCTACATGTCATTCCGCTGGTAGCAGGCAGCTCCGTGACCATAAGTTTGATGTAGTCATTATTGACGAGGCAACACAAGCGCTCGAAGCGGTAAGCTGATTCTGTTCCAGATGACAGCCATTATTAATACACCTGCAGGTGTGCTGGATTCCAATATTCAAGGCGAAAAAGCTCATACTGGCGGGCGACCCGATGCAATTGCCACCTACGATTCTTTCTATCGACAAACATAAGAAGGACACATCGGGGACTGCGACACCAAAAAAGGGCGCAAGTACTGTGAATGATGAGAAGAAGTCGCAAGAGTCGATGGCACCAAAGCCTGAGCTACCTAAAGAAGACGAGGGCACGAGTCCCAGTGATACGGATTCCGAAGCGGAATCGGTGAAAGGAGATGAAATCATGGCACAAGACACAACAGTCGAAGTGTCCGAAGGAGGATCCCAGCCGAATCTAAAGCCTGAAACAAAAACTCGAAAGGAGGCAAAGAAACGAACTGGCTTGCGACCACCTCGCACATTAGAAACAACACTCTTTGACCGACTCGAGAGGATGTATGGTCCAGATATAAAACGCTTGCTCAATGTTCAATACCGGTAAGATACAAGTCATATTCAATTTGTACTTAAGCAGCCCACAATGGACATCTCTAGCATGCACTCGCAGATTTGCCAGTTTCCTTCCAAAACGCTTTACGCGTCAAAGCTCGTGTCCCATCAATCTGTCAGATCTCATCTCCTCAAGGACCTACCCACTGTCAGCGCCTTCACTGCCTCTAAAGACGAGGACACCGTCAAAGAAATACTAGGAACGCCAGTCGTGTTTTATGACACTGCGGGTTGCGAATACTTCGAGCGAGTGGACGGAGATAACGACGAAGGCAGCCGCTGCAACGAGAACGAAGCAGCCGTAGTGTCAAAATGGGTCGAAAGGCTGGTGGGAGCTGGATTGCTGCCATCACAAATTGCCCTGATCACTCCGTATGGGACCGAGTTCTTCCGATCTGAGATATGCAAGCCTAACTTATCATTGTGAATTAGGTACCAAGCCCAAGTTACTCTTCTCACTTCCTTGCTTAGGCCAGTGTATGGTCTTGAGCTTGAGATTGGGACAGTCGATGGGATGCAGGGGCGAGAGAAAGACGCTGTCATTATCAGCTTGGTGCGCAGTAATGACAAGGTGCGATTTGTCCTCTCTACCGCGCTTTCCACTGAACGTTTCCAGCGCGAAGTTGGGTTTCTGAAAGAGAAGAGACGTATGAATGGTGTGTAAAATCATTTCCGCGGGGACATCATCATTAAGTCATCCGACAGTCGCCATGACTCGAGCCAAGAGGCACTTGGTAAAATGGAAATTGTTTGTCCTCATGGTGTTGACTAATCAGGACTTGCAGTGTATCGTGGGTGATTCGTCGACTGTGAAGCATGGCAGCCCGTATTTGAAGAAATGGCTTGCTTGGCTTGAGGCAAATGCGGATGTGAGGTTTGCGGAATTTGATTCCATTTAATCGTGGATCTGGCCCCTGATCAGCTGTGGGTGATCACAATCTAACCCTGTGATTGCAATTATCAATATGGGTGGTACAATGTGAATATACGATGGATCGTCTGGCAGAACGAATGGGTTTGTCGTATGATACAACTCTCAAGAAGCTTTAGCTTCTCGAGATCTCACCAGCGAGATGATCATTACATGTGGGACTGTACAGACTAATGCAAAACACGCGAAGCAAACAACATGCTGTACAGTACAACAATCAGAAAATAAAGGCAATGCCATGTAAAATGAGGGAGATGATGGATGAATAACTTAATGGATACTTGTGATAAGAGTACATCACATGGAAGCCAGTTAGCCACTTAGTACTCCTCGACATCGGTAAAAGAAGCGTAATCAGACAATGTCCGTACATCTTCATACTCTAGCACAACCTCTCGCATCGCATAGCGCATGATCGGCGTCAGGGGCACCAGTTTGGGGCCAATCACTTCGTCCTGCTCATCTTCCTCGTCAATCTGCCCGAGCTCCCGCGTAGACATATTGATGGGATTCACCACAATCATATCGCCGTCTTCTGAGGACGCACCAAGTGTGCTGCCGCTCCCGACATTGATTGGGCTGGGTATGATACCCACCGGTGGGATAACGGTGATAGGAATCATTGGTTCCGAGCGGGCTGGCGGTTCTCCTTCGTGCGTCACTGGGTCTGTCCAATGCAGATTCAGCACGCGCCCCTTAATCATCCCATCCACCGCGCGCACACCAAGCTCTCGACAAAGCAAAAAATATGGCAAGTGGTTCGTCCCCACCTGACTCAATTTGCTCATAACCTTGAGCAGTTGCATCGCGCTGAAGTCAGCAGAATATTCCTCGCTGACGCTGCCGGGATCGCGGAGAGAGTTTCGAACAGGAGGGTATGATTTGAAACCAGCAGGCCCGAGGTTGGCATGCAGGGCGTCAGGCCCCGAGGAGCGCGGGCGGGCGGCAGGTGTGCTGGGTGTTGTGGGGTCTTGGCCACTGCTGGTCATTGTGGTGGCTTGTGAGGAATGGATGATGTGAAGGTTGAGGACCGCGTGTGCCTGGAGGAAGTGGGAGCTTTGCTTGACTGTGTTACGATGTTAATGGCTGCGAGTGTTATAGCGATGTATGCATACTTTCAAAGTTTCCACCTGCATTGACTATGAAATATCTGTCAGTATTCCACTTGAAGAGATAAGACAATGATGATAACATACCATAATCATTGACATAATCATGCCAGTGCGCTAATTTGCCACCAAATGCATCATATGTTGAGTCGAACGACAAGCCTGCACGCAAGTTCTCTGGAACGCGAGGCAGAATCTTCTCGATAAAGAAGGCGCGCGTATCTGTCTTCGAGCAATCTCCGATGGTGATAATCTACATCCATAATAATCAACTCCTGAAAACCACGTAAGGTGTCAAGACGTACTTTACAGTGTTGCATTACGTTTAACTGTCGTAGCCATGCTTGATAAAAAGGGTCGCTGGTAGCGTGGATTACATGACATAATCTGTCTTGCTTCGTGAGCACCAGCATTGAGTCTAGGAGGCATTTCATCGCGTCAGATGACTGAATCAGCGCAGGGCTGCGACGGTGACACATCAGCGCCTGATATATACCTTCAGGTAGGTGTACCCACAGTTTATGTGCTTCGTCGAAGAACACTACCGGAATCCGCTTGATAGCCTTCTCGTGCGACTTTTCGCGAGCGTTGGAGTTGGCCATCGACGAGGACACTTCCTGGTTTTGCTGCCCGTCGCGTGGCTTCTTGCCTTTGCGTTTGAACCACCGGGATTTATGCGAGGGTGAAGGTGATGAGCTGTTGAGTTTTGTCCGATCTGAGGACATATCGGAGTCCTTCTTACGCTTTCCATGTTCTGGTGGCTGTTCTGATGGCTCAAACTCGCTGTACTTCAGAAGCGAACTCTGAGTCAAGAAAAGTCAATGAAATACGCATTGGTAGGTGGAGATACGCGCCTGGAAAAGTTCCATGAGTCTCGCAATATCGCTCGTCCTGACTTGCGAACCAGAGCTTCCAACAGGAGATTCGTTAAGCCTTCGTTCGACGTTCAACCTGTCGTGCTGTGATCATATCAGGAACACCATTCTTCAACACAGTTGGTTACCGAACCTTGAATTCCAGTCCCTCCTTCTGGAATTCCTCGTATCCAGGCGTCGTCTTCGATATTTCGTCGAAGTAACGCTCCATTTGCTGCGACATACTCATGTAAAGGCTCGTCATATCCGCAAAGCCAGGTATGCGTAGATCGAAGTGAAGAACATGATAGATATTTCGCGAGAGAATTTCCCGCAAGAGCGCAGTCTACAAACTTTCGATGAATGGGCGATCGCACTGATAGGTAGAGGAACCGACCTTCCCAACCGAACTTGCACCAAACAAGATCGTAAACGAAGGCTCACCCTCCAGGATACGTTCGATCACACGCATCTCGGTTTCTCGCGGAAGAAAGCACGGGAGACGGGTGAACGCGTGTTTTGTACGCAACGGAGAGCGCTCGTGTGTGTCGCGTGTCTCGTTGATTTCGTTGCGGGCTTCCTCGAGAAGGCGCCTTGACTCGCTCAGGGAGCGAAGCGTCTCGGAAGGCTGCGAATAAATATGAGTGAGTTGGATTGCGCTGTGGTCGGAGACGCACGTTCAGAAGAACATTAAATACTTCGCTCATACCAAAAAAGTTCCTCCGTCCAAGGTCAGCGCTGTATGCAGCAGAGCTTCTGCGATGGGGCAAGTTTGAGCGGAAGAGCCAGTGCATGGCGTTGGAGGAATATTGGGAGCGTGGGCGAGGAACAGGAGAAGCAGGGCTGGCCTTGGTAGTTCTGGTGCGCATAGTAGTCGAGGGGTGTGGGGATGCCAGCCTTATAAGGAAGAGAAGTGGTGATAGCTAGTGTGATTGGAGAAGTGAATGGCCAGATGGCAATTGCAGGCTAGTTATGAGTGTACTTGCAGTGAGGAAAGAAGCACAAAGGGACCATACATCTTACGCATGTTTGTGCTCGGGTGAAGGATGGAAGACAACTCAGCTTGCACAGCACTAAGTCCACGCATCTACATCGTTTGCGTGAGCGCAGTTGATCAATGATCCACGTTGTTTGCGCGAGGCAGCTCTCACCCAGCACGCTAAAAATGGCCTTGTACGGAGGCACGATGACGAGAACACTGGAACCTAGACGCATAGTATGCATGGCATCCACTAACATTGAAGAACCTTGGGACCCGCCATCACTTTGAGAAGCAATCAACGTTGCAACCCCGGACAGGACAAAGAATATTACATAATTCTTGAAGCCAAGTCAACTGCCTTGTCAAACCTGTCTACTCATCAGTTATCCCCTTAAGTTATTCTTTTTGTGTACCATAGACCAGGCTTCTAGTACTGGACAAACAACAGAGTCCCGCCTTCAAGGATACTGTTTGGGTGGAAGACAAGACTCGGGAGTTTGCTGCTTCGCCTTGCCATTCGAGCTCCAAACATCAACAAAGTATCGTAATAACGTAGTAAGAGGAAGGTCTATTGATTGCTTGAAGTAGCTGTAATAACCTGTCCTACTGTACTTAATCCCCACGTAAATTTACCAGTAGTAGTAGGACAGTTGATCCTTTCCCTGAATGTCATTTAGTTTGGACAAGTTTCACCAAGTCAACTCTTCTAGATCGTGTGCACTTGAGTAGGTCTGCTTTAGATAAGATAAGATAAGCTGGACGACGATTGCAAAAAGCTTGTAAATCAAACCACATTCAACAACGTACGAGTCGACTGTTGCCAGCCAGCATTTCCAAGGAGATACATAAATGGCGTGCAACACGGAAGTACTTACTGATCAAACTGAAATCCACAGCATTAATGTTCAATGGGGATGCGTGCCGCCCGCAACGCCTCATGCAAACAAAGCCAAATTTTCGTACGTTCAGCACTGTCTACCGTCTGATTAATTGGAGCTTATTATGCACCGGCATGACTCACTGATCCATTCTGTCGAAATGCAACTAGTCCCTCACTACATGAGTTGTGAACAAACCCGGATCCTAAACCTAAATGATGGCAGTGACCGCGTGCAACAGCAGCCTGTGCAACGGCGCTCCGGCTGAGTGACGAGCGAGCCTTGAATCATACTAGATCGATCTGATGATCGTGAATGTGATTGCTTGCAAGTCTAGTTGCGGCTGCATAACGAAAACTAGTGCGAGTTCGACGATGAATGATCCAATTCACGGGTGTCAGTGATCAGCCACAGACATACTCTAAGTGAGTGGCTTATCAAAGTGGTGCAAAGGGGAATCCGTCGTCATTAGGGTGGCATGGGACTCCTCGTGTTAGTGTTTGCACACACGACCGGCTGTCCGATCGCATCCGCTATCTATCAGAATCCTTGGAGCGAATCTTCGCTTCAATGCGCAGGAGAAAGGTCTTCACCAGCGAAATCGAATCCTATGGGAACAAGGTTTGGGACTTCCGTACGCTTGACCCTAACAACATATTAATGGCATAAAGTAAGGATTAAACATAATAAAGAATTAGATTACCTCGCAACCGCCTGCGGCGGCCTTTTCTCATCAGAAACATTGATTTCCTAAAACATTTTCAAAAAGTTGACAGTGAGACGGAACCTGATGGAACACAATTATATTCCCATAAAATTGTTACCGTAGGTTGAGGTGCTGCTGCGACTCCCAAAACGGAGCTCGCAAAAACTCGCCCTTCTTCTGCCGCTCTTCAAGCGAGATGTGCGGAGATAACAGGTCAGAATATGCACCGAGAAAAAAATTGCTGGCGATCGTTTGCGTCTCACTAGAAAATCACATACCAGGACGATCAAACGAAGATGCCTTCTATGTAGGGAAAATATTATTAATGCTTACGAGTCACTGGCTACTGCCGTCCGATGAACCTAGGACATCAACCTCATCATCAGACTCAACAAGGCGTCCGCGTCTCGAACGCGAGGGACGCAGAGCAAAGACGCTGTCGGGCTCGTCTTCATCTTCATCTTCGTCGGAGGAAACTACAATGGGTGCTGTTCGGCCCAGTCTACTGGCAAGTGATGGTTGGTCTTCCTCGTCGTCATCGGAGAGGAGATCAGCATCTACGCGCGAACGGCTGTCTTCATTATCGCTGTCATCGGAAAGCTCACGTATATGCGGCAGCCGTCGTATCGGGCCTGGAGGAATTCCAGTGTCGTGCTCGTCATCGATGAAATCGCTCTCATAAGCCTCGTCATCTTCTTCGTCGTCTTCGTCATCATCCTCTTCATCAAAGCCAACGCCCCAACTGAATACCGGCAAACCTGGATACCAATCACCAATCGCTAAACCATCATCTTCGTCATCCCCCTCGCCATCTTCGAGACCCATCCAGCCTGGATCATCATCAGGGTCAAACTCTTCCACTCCTGGGCCAAAGTCCAAACCGAGTTCATAGTCTGGCCAATCCTCCCTTCCTTCGTGGCCAGGATACCGCCTACCGCATGACGTACACAAGCCATCCCAAATCTCATGCATGCAGTCCAGACATCGGTATATCCCTCCGTCCTCCATATCAAGCATACCGACGTCTTCTCCGCGACGAGGTTCGGCATCTGCATCTTCTGCAAGTAACCAGGGAAGGAAACCGTGGACCGATTTCCTGAAGATGCCATCCCAAGGATCTGCATCCGCAGGCCGATCAGCGTTAGCTTGCGCCTCGGAATGTGGGGGCACGTTGGCAAGGCTGCTCTTCCCTATGAGGTGCGCTAGATTCTTGATAGTCCATATTTCTGCGGGACGATCTCGCACGACTGCTCGGCAATGTGGGCACGTCTTTTTCCGTACAATGGCTGGTGCGGCAGGTCTATTATCAGCAGGCGGAGCGTTAAACCATTGAACAAGGCAGTCATAGCAAGCCACGTGACCGCACGGAGCGAGTGCATAAGGCTTGTACATCACGTCGAGGCATATCTGACACGTCAGAGTTTGGCAAATGTTGTTGAGAACACTTTGATGCGCAGCCAGAAGCTGATATGATAAAACAAAATTGAATTAAATATTAACTGCTATAATGAACTGCGCACCTCGCCCTTTTCTGCCAATTCCTTTGTCAGTTGCGAGATCCGGTCTTCAGGTAGAACATCTGAGGGGTTTTGCGAATTTGAGGACTGTTTCGTGTCACTAAGATTAGCGGTTTCAGCTGAATTGTTTCCTTTCTGTGCGATGACATTATGAGGGAACTAAATGAATTGAAACAAACAATTCTCTAGACATACCAGAGTAGTTGATTGTAATTTCCTTTCAATTTTATTTTCGGTATCGTTCTCGTGACTAAGAGGGTCTGATGGGACCCTGCTCTTGCTTCCTGACGGTGGCGCAGACGTAAATCGAATGACTTCATTGCGAGCTGACACTGGCGGCCGCTGAGGCTGTGACGTCGAACTGTCCTGCATATGATGACGATGATCCATTTTGACAACCACTGGTTCTTTCTTTCTCCTCTTCTTACGTTTCTTTGTGTCCCGTCTCGTGCTCGTTTCCGGTGACTGATCGACTCTGAGTCTTTTGGAGTTTGAAGGCGCTGACTGAGCAGGGTCTGCCTCTGATGTAGATCGCTTGATACCCTGGGTTGAACCACTGTGTTCCGGCATAGTTAGATACGTCAAAGGCAACCCTGGGCAACTGCGTTAAAGCACGACAGTCCGGGAAAGACGAGATACCTGATGGCCTCCGCGCTCGCACGAAAGGGATGATGCTTAGCTAAGTCCTTGTGAAGGAAATGTTTCTCGAAATTCGAACTTACACGTGATCGTGGGAAGAGAGAAGGTCTGGATTATTTCTCAGTTTATTTTCCTTCGTCGTCTGGCCAATATTTTAATGTAAAATAATCATGTAAGGTTGCTACGAGGAGCCGAGCAAATATGCCTTATGCGTACCACCAACTGATAAGGACCTGTAGACTCAGAGCTGGACCTCCTTGTAACCGCGACATTTAACTCAACTCCGATTTCTAGAGAGAATCTCCTCTCTATGACCGATCAAAGTGCTATCAGGCCCTGCTAAATCCATATGTTTTGCATGCCTGACTTATAAATATCGGCCAATCAAAACTCGTTCTTCGATGTTAACCTAAACATGAATATGTGCGGACTTCGGTCTCCGCAGTATTACGTGCTCCTGGCCCTTAAGCCCTTATAGTAGGACTAGTCTAAAGTTAGCTTTAGATTCTAATGGAACTGTGATTATTTTCCTGATGGCGTGTAGTTGCCTTCCTTGCCGACTCTCCAAGTGAGAGAGCACTTTGAATCTTTAGCTTGTGTATAACGACTGCGTCCTGTAGGGTCTTTTGGAATCGTAAGAATTCGTTGTGAGGCTAGTGAGTTACGATTCCACACTTGATGTTTTCGGGGCAACCCGTGCTGGTTGTGATGAATTACGTGTTGGGCGTCTAAACAAGAATAGCCTAGGGTTATGGCCAATGGCTTTACGCAAATCTCGAAACCTTCTCTCAGAGAGACTTCCACTAGTCCTATCTGTTTTCACATCCTGGCATGTCCTTGTGCGTGAGAGTCGGCGAGGATAAAGATTTGAGTGTCATATCGAGTCAATATCCATTTACGACGACCTCTAGCTTGGACAAAGCTGGTTCACACCGTCCACTGACACGCGCTTCTCGGACGATTGTGCAGGGGCATGCCCGTGGCGACTCTGCCATCGCTGTCAGGTCAACAACTTTGTCTATAGAGCGTTTACATCGACGTCATGAGTCACATGCCATCCCATCTCGACGGATCCCAGATTCACTGTCAACCCCGGGTTTGAATCCTCATCTTCCGAAAAAAGGGTCCGGTAGTATGTACCAACATAAGGGCGCCGGTTTCATACCTCAATCTCCTTCTATTCGAACGTCATCTCTGCAATCTCTTTCGGGAAGCAAAGAAGACGTGTGGGGCACCTACAGGCACACCCTGCAATTCTCGTTGGCAGGTATAAGGGACGATAAATCACACAACCGTCACAGCTCTCTTATATCCCGCCAACGTTTTTTGCGCAGCAGCAATCGACTTCTGTCACCATCGTCACTCCTCGACATGCAAAGCCTGCTGCCCCCACCTGCCGTCTCTTCTCATACTCGTATACCCGTCCTCGGTAACCCTTCGGACCATGAGGAATTCACAACGGAAAAATATACCCCACTACTTGGAACAAACCCATCGTCTTCCCAATCTACACGTCGCTCGCTCGCCTTTTGGCTCATTCTTTACTTTTGCTTCAATCTTGGACTTACCTTGTACAACAAAGGTGTCCTCATCCACTTTCCTTTTCCATACACCCTCACTGCGCTGCACGCTTTCTGCGGGACTATCGGAGGGCTCATATTGCTGAAAAATGGTACATTCGTGCCTGCTGAGCTCACCACCGCAGAAAACTTGGCGCTTGTGGCATTTAGTGTACTGTACACTATTAACATCGCCGTCAGCAACGTATCCCTGCATTTGGTCACCGTTCCAGTGAGTGACGGCATACTTTGCGTAAGATAGGAGCTGATGATGAGTGCCGTAGTTTCATCAAGTAGTGCGTGCAACCACGCCGATTTTCATAATTCTTCTCTCCATCTTCTTTTTTGGAACCCGGAGTAGTAATCACAAGATGATATCACTAGTCCCTGTCATGGCTGGCGTTTGTTTTGCGTGAGTGATTTCTCGCCTCAGAACGTCTCCTTCTAATTTTCATATAGGACATATGGAGACTATTCGTACACGACAAGCGGACTCATGTTGACCCTACTGGGAACAGTACTTGCTGCCATGAAAACCATCTACACTTCTATCCTACAGTCGACCCCATCACCGACTTCGCCGCAGCCACGGGTAAATTTTGTCATTCCCCCGCGGTTACAGTTGCATCCGCTAGATTTGTTGACGCGGATGGCGCCGCTTGCGTTCATCCAGTGCGTTTTTCTCGCATACCTTACGGGAGAATTATCCCGCGTGCATACATGGAGTTTGTACGAGATGACGCCTGGAAATGCGGCGCTCCTTGGACTTAATGGCTTCATTGCGTTTGGTCTGAATATTGTGAGTTTTACGGCGAATAGGGCGGCAGGCCCTCTGAGTATGACTGTTGCTGGTGAGTGACCATTGTTGCACACACTATAGCGCATCTACTGACTAGCCTATAGCCAATGTCAAACAAGTACTCTCCATATTTTGTGCGGTTGTTCTATTCAAGCTTACAATAACGCCGACCAACGCGCTTGGGATACTTCTTACGATCGCTGGTGGAGTGTGGTACGCAGCCATTGACTATCAAGAAAAGAGAGGAAGATGGAGAAAGTAGATGGTGATGATTATGCTAGGACAGTTTTATTCTTGGAGATTGCAATTTAGTGTAGCCCCTTCGTTTTTCGACATGCACATTGTATGTGCATGTGCACGTCCCATCTTTTGGCATTGATACCATATCTGTAATAACATAGAGATATATCACCTCCGGCGGACATATGTGTCAACATTCAAATGGAAGTCAATCTTTTGGCAGGACGTGTGGTCAAGTCCGCACTCATCGAAGCGTCAAAGTTGGACATGATCTCTTTATTAACCGGTCAGCTGTTCGTCGGCGTTAACAGAAGGAGCATAGCACTAGTGCGATTCATATCCGTGATTCATGCAATGTCACATGAAATAGTCTTTTTTAATACCAAGTTTGCCCAGGATATTGCGATGGAAACCATGACTTTATACAGCTTCTGCATAATTCATTCTGGCACTGTCGAAGCTAGCGGAGACATTATTTGACTTTGAACATATCTGATACCCCAAATTCTAATACTGGGGAGTTGCCATTAGCGTTGGAACGTTGATAGCTAAATCAAGTTCACCGCTGGCAGGTGTACTAGTACTGCAATCAAGGTTCCGTATAGTATGCTATCGTATACGGCCGTCAGGATGTTTTTTCTTCCAGTTGTAGTACGACCGTATGCCGTATCAGTAGCCTTGCAAGTTAGTCTTTCGAAGTCATTACTGTATGCGTATCAACAGCACTAGAAGCATATCATTATCCATGTGCTCGGAATTCGTGTTGTTATCAGATTGCTGTAATCGTTTCCCGCTGGGCGGCCCGCAGGCCCCGCACGTCGATGATGTACGATTGATTACCATCTGATTCTCTTATCTTGTATAGCTGTTACATCAGATTATTATTTTTATATGCTGTCACTACGACTATATAATTCCCACCTGACTATACTTTTCAACAGTCAGGCTCGAGCATTGGTAGCGACTTAGGTGGCCAAAAATAAACATAGATGACATCATTTACATAAGGGTTCTATGATGGAAAACAATCAAACTCTCGCCCCATGCGCCACGAGGTACCAAGGACGTGCTAGCTTTAGCTGGAATTTGTGACCCGAATCTGTCAAGTCGGAAATGACCCCATACGATCACGGTGCATAGTGCATATATCATAGTAAGTGCAATTCACTTATGCATCGCTAGTACTACTTGGGGAGCAACTTCCAAATCCCAGGTCGACCCCAGACTCCAAACCAGTCGATGAACGATGACCGATTTTCAGCGGTGAACCTTTATGTAATCCTGACGTCGGAATTCTGTTGGAAAAACTATGTGTGGTTACAGGGTGCAACCCTAACCCTGGTCCGAATATCGCAAGTTTACTTCATTATTGAGCCTGCAGGACGGACATACTATGAGGCTGTCCAACAAGGTCCTCGAGTTTATAGGAAACTGATAGAATGCACAATTTGAGGATGGAGACTCATTCAAGCAAATACCATAGCCTAGGCGGGGGTTCTGAGACAGCATGCGAGCATGCTGGATGTGACTTGTGTGACACTTAGAACTCGGGATCACAGTAATGATTTGGGTTTTCACGCATGCATCTGCGATATGCTGTCAGGATGTCAGGAGCTCGAGGCAGGTTCTCTTACTCAATCATCCCTGCGTCATCGTTCATACCGGCCGAGGTGTATCGTCGCGGAGTTCAAATTTGACGTTTAGGTGGCCCGGACCCTTCCAGATATCAGTCTGGAACAAAGTGCCTTGTGTGTGCGGACTTGCAAAACACTGACGTTTGACGGCGGGACCGTCGGCACTAGGACTTTAGCCTTTCAAATGTCAATAAGCGATGCTCACTCATTGGAGTTTGGAAGGCTCGTTTGACCTACCCCCCTTCTGGATATCACTTTGGAACTGACATGCGGACTTGGAAAACACTGACGTTTGACGGCGGAACGTCGGTCGGTACGAGGACTTTAGAACCTAGATTTCGATTTAAAATGCTGCGGAAACTTTATCATGATGATCAGTACCTTGTGCCCGGGTTCCGTATTCCGATTGCACGCTGAAGCATTGTTCTCTAGAGTTCAAAATAAACTCAATGTCGAACGACATACTTCTAAGATCGCACGTACAGGGAGAGAACAAGATAGTCAGCAATGCGGTGCTGATAACAGGTTGACCGCGGACAATGTTGTAAACCTCGAGTTGGCATACGCTAGCATTACATTTGACATGTATGCAATAGATCAAGCAAACGTACAAGTACGGTGGTGTCCTAGACCCAAAAGGGCAACAAACAATGATTCAAGTTGACCGCTAGTGAACGTTTGAACGTGGAACGTACGTTGGCCCATGACAGATATGGTGTTTGTGCCCTTATCGTAACTGAAACAGATAATGTCACACTCCGAATATACGGACATAGTGGCGACATCTTACCCGCTTTCATGCAAACCTATATTTGCGACAGTTCTGATAAGTTCCTAGGGTTCAGCACCGAATAGTATTTGGTATGATACCTCAATTCGGGCGATTCTAGTGTTGAATCGCGTAATCACCGTTCAGTGTGAGTTCCCGGCCACCTGCGTCGAAGAGACAATGGATAGGATAAGGCTATGGAAAAAGTGACATTTTTCCCGTAAGCATGGGGAAGTGCTCGAATCATCTAAACGAGCATGCCGATTTCACGGTATCTGTCAGTTTTAGCAATCCTTGCGGATTCAGGAATCTGACGCACCTCAATATCGCTTTTGTTTGGCCATTTTATTTATAACAAATCAATCGGACATGCGTGATTGAGTTGGCATTTGATTTACCATTTTACTTTGCACTTGGCATACTTTATCGAGTTCGGGGTTTTCTATGCGAGAGGGGCCCACCAGGTGAGACCAGGTGGCGCGCGACAAACGGGAGTTGCGGTACCTTGTAAGATGACAATAAATCTGGAATATAAATGTGACACACGTATGGCGACCCCAAGGCTCCTCAACGTGGCACGCAAACCGATGGTCAAGCCGTCGAAATATACTATTGAAATGAATCAAATTCTAAATCAAAGGGTCGCTGTGCCTAGAGTTTGGGCTGTCTAAATCCACCAAGAGTCTGGTTTTGGATGATGGCTAGCAAAGCATATAATGTTTCAATACGCTGCAAGGCAGGTATTAGCTATGATGGTAGCGACAGCGAACATCGCTTACTGGCACATCTACCCCCGTTTCCTTGGCCATTCTGACCACCTCCCCGAGAATGACCTCCACCTCGATAGGCAGCCCATTCTGGGCATCAAGGAGCATGCTCGGGAGAGTTGTATGGGCAGGGTCTTTGTGTAGCTCTGCAGTACGCAATACAGTAGTGTCAACGAGGGAAGAAGGTAGACCATCTTCGTTATCTGGGTAGCCCAATGCACGCCCTAAGAAAAAGGTAAGACATGCGGAGAGGTCACACAGTTCAAAATCACCAAGAGTAAGCATCTCTTGCACAATCGCACGTAGGACAGGGATGATATCGGGTGCTGTCTGAGGTGCCACGTAAGGACTATACGATTGGCCCTCTTTAGGTGGAGGTCGAAACATTGCTGTAGGAGAAGACCCGGTGAGGGTCGAGAAGGAGGAGAATGCAACATTCCAAAATGTCTTGTGGAATTTCTTGCGCTGAATCTCTGTTGCAATGGTCACCTCTGAACCTCCTGTTTCGAGTATGGTTCCAAGGTCTGTCAAAATGGCATCTTCTTCGGGAGAGTTAGTAGTTGTTAGGTGGTCTCCATGTCTGTACATTCCAATGGTAATACGATCCTATGTCCGCATATGTCAGAAATCCGGAAGGGTCACTCGACGTATGAACTATCTTTGCTCACAAAGTCGTCGTGATCTACCACATTCTTCTCCACCAAATTTGTTGTAATCCATAAGACACTGCTGATGATATTCGGTTCACCTTGATCGAGGGCCTTGACGCTATGATACAAGTCTCGCTCCACTCCAAGTCCATTTTGGAGTAAGACATAAGTAGGCTGAGGGTGCTTTTCACTATACGGACTAGAAAGCAGTGGTTCTAGAATCCGAGATGTCTTGATCACTTCTGGAATCGCCTTGGTTGTCAGGACCACATAGGAATACGGCCTATCAGCAGCTTCTGCCACGGACGATACCACTGTAATTCCAAGATGCACGGTGATGGACATCGCAGGTAATGTATTGGTCTTGCTTACGACGGTAGGGTTTCCAGCTCTCGTGAATGCCATACTTTTTGCTCCTGATATGTATGCCCTTGGCTAGAGTCGATCGGATCAGCTTCGAAGTCGATGAGACGACACAGTAGTTCACCATTGACAACGTCATAGTTACTTCGGGCAACAGCAGTCACCCGCGCAAGCTTGCTCCTTTGAAGGATGTAGGCATCTGAGAGTGAGATCAGTGCCAGCACTATGGCTGTATCGTACGACTCGGAAATATCCAACTTGATGGTTGGGAGGAATGAAGACTAAGCTTCGAGTTGCTCGTGACTTACAGATCGTTCCGACTGCACCCAGGCCAACAAGCAGGACGTCTTTTGTACCGGTAGTAAGCATCTCACAAGTAATGAGTCTAATGACAGTTGCATTAAGTTGCAGGCAGCAGAATACCCGTCCGTGAAGTCTCGAAATCTCAAGATCTCACGGGCCGTAACGGCATATGCAACGCGGCCGCCAGCGCTATAGTATGATCCGACAAAGTTCTTGAGAAACCAAATAAACTACAATTATTGTCCATGTGAGTTAGCAATACTATTTATCATCTGCTTGGGGCGACACCACACATAATGCTACGGCAGTCTGTTATATCGTAGATGACAAGGGTATCCATTCGTTGTTGCTACGCTTCACGGTAGAATGACTGCATACTCCCAGTCTTCCGAGTAGCAAATGGTGACATGGGAGACATAGGGTAGGTACAGGTATCTTCGGTGACATCGATCTGGACTGGTGCAAAGGTCACTGTAGGACTTGACGATTTGTCGAAATGTGTGCCTATCTTAGTCAGGCCAAGGCCGAGACGGGTGATGATAAGAAGAGGCGTCGTGGTCTAGGAAAATGTGAGACGGGAAAAAGATAAGCATAAGGTACCTACAGCAATTTGAACAGCAACATTGAATCCCATGAAACCAGCTGGGCTGCCAGCTACATCCAAAACGAACATGACAAAAGTGCAGCTAGCTACAAGTGCACCGGACTCGATGACGGTAAACATGGCAGCCGTGTAGACATTGCGGCCAGTTAAATGGGATACTTCTCGTCCCACAAGCCAAAGACGATACGCGATTCCAAATGTGACACCGGTGTTGAGAAAAAGACCCAGTGACCAACTAGCTTTGCCGAAAGCTTGGACATCGTGTGAGAAGAGGTGCTCGTTAGGCTGAGCTATCATAAATACGGCTATGATAGCACAAGCTACACCGAGGCGATAGATAATCTTAGCACTTGATCTGAGAGCGAAGTAAAACTAGTGAGCCTACCAATGTGTGCAACTTCCAAAATCAACTAGCAATAGAGACACTCATAAGAGAGACGTGACAAGTAGGATGGAAAGATATCTTACCGAAGGAATGACAAGCTTCCAGTTGTGGTTCCAAACAACGTAAAGCCTCCAGATCTGTTATTGTGCGTGTTACTTCAATATACATGCGGGCCTAATATTACTTACTAGCAGCAAATCTTGAGCGAGCACCTAAAAGAATGAACGATGAGGAGTGATTGAGGGAAGGAAAATGGTGCGCACATTGGAGACATATAATCCCAAATTCGTCAGCATAAATGTTGTTGGTGAGACGAAGTATATGCTGCTTCCATTAGGGACGGCTATTATGGAAGGGGTCGTGAGTCCTTGCAAGGACAGAAGAAGAGAGATGATGCTGTGTGCTGTTGAAACTAAGATGTGGAAAATGCACGACGTAACAAGGACCCTGATCAAGAGCTAAGCACCGGTAAGTGATTGGTGACTGTCTTGAATCACGAACCTATGTGACTTCCTGTTTCGATTCGCCAAGATATATATACATGCACCAAAAAGCACGCAGCTTGTCAATGGAAATGAGTATACAACCTTCCCTGAATATATAAACCCACTTGATTCCTACGAATGAGAGTTTAGGACCCAACGTCTACGCTCGTTTCTCGGGGAAACACATACCGTAAACCATACTTTCAAACCATATTGAGATTATAAACAAACGGTCCAAATTATGAGGATCCATTTTCTATCGTCATAGCCAGAAGGGGGATGTCCGATGAACGAACCTCAGCATCTTATAACTTGTTGACGTGCCTTGGCAGCCTTGTCATGTCTTGAGGTAGATTGCTACTGTCTCAGGGATATTGACATGATTAGTACCGGCAGCTGACAAAACAATGGGAAGGTTAATATGCATGGACCTTTGCACCAACTTTTCTGTTAGTCACTGGTTGTGTTTCGGAACGACCCTCGAGTGTTGTCTTTGTTGTTATCGATGCTGTTTAATTTATGACCGTGTGCTCGCCATAATCACACAGCCCTGACTTGGCTTTTGGGTCTTGGGCAAGTAAAAGTTGTGGGGGTCAAACAATACTCAGGGTATAATGCCGCACGAACGATGGTTTCGCTGTATGTAGGTTATCATAATGCAACTGCCTGCACAAGAGCTGAGACAATGGAGGCAAACTACCTTCAAAGTCAAGACCAATTCCAGTACTCGCACTGGCAAACACGACAAAGAAGTGTACCACCAGATAGATATGAAGGGCAGACACGAAGATTAGACCATAGAGAGCAAATACACGAAAATTCCAAGCATGAGAACCAAACTGCCTCAGGCAGCCTTACTCTGGCTTGAGCCTCTCTTCACAGGCAAAGCCTGTCCTGCTGGACCGCCGGCCTCGCTCTCATAAACGAAGACGATGAAGAGGTGCACCACCAGATAGAAAAGTAGACAAGCAAGGGATAAAAACTTGCTGCAGGCGGCCTTACTCAGAGTAAATTACTTTGGCCTGCCCCGCTCTTCGTAGATGGTGTCGGATGCATGTCCTGCCTGTCTATGCCCTTGGTAAATAGGTTTGTGAAGAGGCCCTTGGCAGCCCCGGTTACTGACAGCAGCCTCATGGACCTCAGCCCCATATCTGGTACACTCGAGAGCCGGTCGGAATAGTCTGGTTCGCGGTTCAGGGTATGGTCTGGTTCGTGGTTCAGGGTACAGCCTGGATCAGCAAGAAAGTCATTATACGGTCGACGCAGAGCATCTCAATGTAGTCCAGATGATGCACAGAGGCGATACAGAAGGCGACAGATATTTGATAAAAGGGAGATGCCGAGCAAACAAAACCTCGTCAGGTGCAGCACCCAACTCAGAGTGTAAACGACAGAAGGAATTTGGCAATTGAGACAAAGGCTGGAGGAAGTCGGCGAGCCGCCTCCATGACGACAGATGCAGGCAAATCAGAAAGGATTGTGGAATTGAATGGTCTTCGGGAAAGAAAAACCACGCAGAATCATCACTGACCACGGCGACATACAGAGCACTAATATCGACCGTCATCTGAGAAAACCGATGTTAAACGAGATTATGGTAATAGTACAGGGTATGCATGAACCACTAGGAGGAGAATCGGGATGGGGCGTTAATGAGGAGAACAACGAGGGACTTTGAGAAGTTGGAGAAGCGAAGACACGGAGACATCAATGTTCGGGAAGTAATCGGATCAATCCATATGCAGAGAAAAGTGGAGTGGAGAGAAGAAGGGTGATCGCAGAGCCCTCCACCAACGTGGGAGTCGGAGATATTTGGTTTATTAAACGTTAATTAAAGCCTGTAAGCTCACGTGATATGAGGGAGTACAAAAACCCTCCTTTTTGGCGCTTGCTGTACTGAACTTTCGCCTTGTAACGTTGTACATATACATAGCAGTAAACGTATTTTAAACATGGCCTACAGAGGCGATCGTGGACGGGGTGGCTTCGACAGAGGGAGAGGAGGACGAGGAAACCCTATTCCCGGCGACCGGGGACGGGGTGGCTTTGACAGAGGGAGAGGGGGACAAGGAAGCCCTATTCCTAGCGACCGGGGACGGGGTGGCTTTGACGGAGGGAGAGGGGGACGAGGAAGCCCTATTCCCAGCGACAGGGGACGGGACTCACCCTCTGGCTTTCGTGGCGGTGGCGGCAGAGGCGGTGACCGTGGCGGCCGAGGGTTCGACAGAGGTCGGGGAAGGGGCTTTGGTGCTCCAAGAGAACAAGGCGGGTAAGTGCTACGTTTGGAACAATACCACGCTCAAACAAAAACTCTGCAGAATATTTCTCGAGAACCAACCAGCTACCGTCGACGCTCGAGTAGCTGATGACTCCGACAAGGCGCTCGTCGCTAGTTTACGAAACACTCAGCTCAGGAATGACCCTGACAGTATGCCCTTGCGCCCAGACTTTGGCACTGTTGGGGTGCCAATCAAACTTCGCACCAATTTCTTCCCTGTGCGCGTCCCCAAGGGACCGCTTTATGAATATGACATCGCTATCACGCCTGTGGCTGGAACAGCTACTCGTCGCGTCAAGCGTCGCATATTTCAGCTCGCAGAGCAGACTACTACGTGGCAACAGTCTGGGATGCGTGGCACTGTTGCACACGATAGCAGTGCAAAGCTTATATCGGCTCGTGTTCTAGCACAGCCTCTTACAATCAAAGTCCCATATTATGACGACGACCAAACTGGGCCTCCGGCACAGGGTGGCAAAGAATACACACTCACAATCAAATTCATTCAGGAAATCAACACACAGGATCTCACCAGGTGAGTAGGTCATGTGTTTCGAAAATCTCTCTTATGTGTATCTTGCAGTTACTTGAATGGAGATAACCAGTATCGAAACTACAACACCCTTCCTGTTATTTCCGCGTTGAACCTCATTCTTGCTGCGCATCCATTGCGCAGCGGCATCAAAGTCGGTCAAGACCGCTACTTCTTCCGCTCTGCTGCTGTTCCAGCAAATCTCGGCGGCGGTTTAGAAGCATGGAAGGGCTTCTATTCTTCCGTGCGCCCAGCTCATCATCAGTTGATGGTGAACGTCAATGTCTGCACCACAGCGTTCTATACCCCTGGAAATCTTGCGGTGCAGATGATGGCTTTCCAAAACTCCAGTTTCGGCGCACGAATGGAAGCGTTCTGTAAAGGCGTCAGGGTCAAAGCTACCCATCTTGGTTATCGAAAGACCGTCAAGTGTCTTGCCCGCCAGAACGCACGCCAGTACACCTTCCCGTGCGACGAACTTGGAGGATCCGTCTCAGTAGAGCAGTACTTCTCGCGTAGTGAGTGTCATGCTCTCTCCTCCAAATGCTGACGTTGTATTGTTCATAGAATATAAGATTAAGCTGAAGCACCCTGACCTACCTCTTGTTGATGTCGGGGGGCAGAAGAAAAACTACCTGCCAGCCGAAGTTTGCGAAATCCTTCCTGACCAGCCTTTCCGCGGCAAGCTTACAGACGATCACACTGCAGCTATGATAACAGTCGCGTGCCAACCACCCAACGTCAATGGCAACGCTATCATGAACGGTCTCAGAGAGCTCGGGTTTGTAAACCCAGGTCCCACACTTGGCGCGTTTGGTGTATCCATCGGGCCCAACATGGCAGTTGTCCCCGGCCGGATCCTCCCGAGACCTGGACTCAAGTATGCCAACAACGTGTCGCCCGCAGTTGATGACAGAGCTTCGTGGAATTTGCGGAATATTCGTTTTGCTGTGGGCGCGCGCCTGGAGAAGTGGGCTGTCCTGCTCATTGGCGATCGTGGTAGAGACGAGTTTCAGGGACCTCAAGATCCTGCCCTCCGTACCGTTATAAGCGGGTTTATGGCCATGTGCAAGAATAGCGGGATATTTGTGTCAAATGAGCAACCTCCGGTTGTAGCGGCAAACCTCCCGCCGCAAGATAGAAGTGACCCGCTTAGGAAGAGCGCCATCACAAATATTCGTGAGAGTCTAATGAAGTTGCATCCAAAGCCTTCCTTGGTACTCGTGATGCTATCAAACGGCGACAAGAACATTTACGAAGGACTGAAACACTTATGCGACGTGTACCTCGACGTCGCCACTGTGTGTGTACACGTGGGCAAAATTAGGAAGGAGAAGGGGCAGCCACAATACTTTGCGAACGTGGCCTTGAAGGTAAATATGAAAATGGGCGGCGTCAACCATAAACTCGATGAAAACTCGGGTCGGTGGCTCTCCAGCGAGCCAACGATGGTAGTCGGAATGGATGTGACCCACCCTGGTCCTGGAAGTGCAAGAGGAACACGTGAGTACTACATTTGCATGGTTCGAATGGGTACTTATTCCTTCGACAAAGCCTCCATTGCTGCAGTAGTTGCGAGCGTGGACAATCATTTCGCTCAATACCCTGCAAGTCTCGAAATACAGGAGTCGCGGAAAGAGGTACGATCTTCAGGGCAGTTCCTTTCTTGCCAATAACGACCTACCTAGATGATTACCAACCTCAAGGAGATGATGATAGCGAGGCTTCAACTTTTCCGGCAACGTAGCAAGGTATTGCCTAAACGCGTACTGGTTTATCGCGACGGCGTTTCTGAGGTGTGATTTTTCTGCTACGAAACTGGGTGCATATCGCTCATGCTAAATTCAGGGGCAATTCAATATCGTCCGGATGGAAGAGCTTCCGGAGATAGTAAAAGCCTTCCATACCTTCGATCAGCCAAAGAAGCCTTATCGCCCCCAACTAACTATTGTGATTTGTGGCAAGAGGCATCATACCAGATTCTATCCCACAGAACGGAAGGATGCTGCAAATGACGGCAATCCAAAGCCTGGAACAGTAGTTGATCGTGGGGTCACGGCAGTATATGACTTCGACTTCTTCCTTCAAGGTGATTTTTATTCCTTGAAGCAGCGTTTGTTCAATTAATTACACTCCCTACAGCCCATGGCGGTTTGCAAGGTACGACGAAGCCGACCCACTACTACGTAGTCCATGATGAAATTGGCTTCGGGTCAGACAGTCTTCAGGGCCTTACGAATGCCCTGAGCTACATGTTCGCGCGCGCTACTAAGGCCGTGAGCCTTGTATCCCCCGCATATTATGCTGATGTAGCGTGCGAACGTGGGCGATGCTATTTGAGGAAGCTCCTCCAGGGCCAAAGTGGGGATGGTATGACGGCCAGCGGTAGCGCCAGTACCAACGAACAAGATGTTATGCGGGAAGCACAGGCACTCTGGCGTAACGGTGTCTCCAAGAACTTGAAGGATACCATGTTTTACTTGTGATCATGCACATCTACTTTCCTTTTGACTACTGATTGTCATGCTCTCATCGTTAATAGTTATTACTCACGGGTTTTGTCTTGTCTCACGTTGTTGAATTGCTTGATTTCTTAGATGACTTCCAGCTATGCTTGCTTTATTTTCTTGTTTGGATATGTAAAGTGGATATACGAACCGTGTTTTGTGAGTTTTCTTGCACAACCTTATGAGCTGTTCAGAGCAAAAGTTCGAGCATCTCCGAGCACCGCCGACGTTGGGTAGGCGCTATTAAGGACAATACACCACTTCGAGTTCCATTCGAACTTCTAAATTTAGAGTGTGTTATGTATCATCAAGTTGCAATTGCGGTCATTTTTCAAAGCCGAGATTTTTCGGGGAGAACACATACAATTTAGTACTTACAAAAAAGGAAACCGTGACAAGAAGGCAACGCCGTGTGCGCGCAGTGCGCATGTTCACATGATAATCAACGAAGATATTACGAAAGTATAGGGCTTGCGTGCACGTCTAGTCACCTCTTCGGTCGGATCATGCGTGATAAGGTACCTTTTTGGTAGCACCCAGATCCATATTCTGCTTGGTATCACTGCTAGACGGTCAGGACAACTGGGCCGCGGGCTTACCTGGCGGTAAACTGCACTTTGTTTCATGAACACTACAATCACCAACATCGGATGGAAGTGCGTTCCAGGAACAGATGTGAGAGGCGGGAGCCAAAATGCCCACCTTCGCCCCAAATCTTGTTGTTTGGATTAATATCGTGAGGTCACCCTGACATATTATCTTAATTTTTCCCGTCGTGGACCCATGCCCGTGTTATACAGGAATGTGACCGGTTTTAGAATGGCTCCATAGGTGGCACCAACACTGTCCAAGTACGCCGATGCCGGGCCACCTTAGTGGGTGGGTGGCGACCTTCAATGAGCCAACGCCACCTCCCTTGGCATATAAAAGGGCCTTGAAACTTCAAGCGAAGTCATTAAATCCGACGCAAGCAAACCACTCACAATTTTCAACGTCCTTCATCTTTAATCATTCCGCATCCATGTATGCACTTGATACAACCGCATTAATGATCGATGCTCGCTACCAGAGCACCGTAAGGATTCTGACCTATCGTCCTGTAGCGTGATGCTGACACATTATTGCAGGTTGTTCCTGTCGCAGCGAAGAGAACCATGAAGTGTTCTACTTGTGGTTCTTATGATCCCCCAGCAGTACATGTGTGCCCAGGTCCAACTGGCCCATCTGCGAAATAAGCGAACAGAGCTCGTGTGGAGAGATGGTGGAAGACGCCGCTGAGGAATCGATACTTGTACCCATGTGTTGATCTGTATGCGTACCCTTGCTACAAAGCACAGACATCCAAAGCATCCATACTTCCTGTATTTCATTTGTACACGCTATGTTAGCAAGGGGAAGTTTCACAAAATCGCCGGAGCAAAACCCGGAAACAAGACCACTGCCAATCAGACGTCCTGCTCTTTGCTCCCTCGTGCTCCATGTTAGCAATTCGGTAAATTTATCAGTACGTAAAGCGATCGTGCAATCGAAGCGGACCGGACGACAACTGAATTCATTGGTACTATGATTCCAGGTGTCCGGTAATTTTGTCGCTCCGGTGACGTCGATAGAAAGGATGATACTAAAAGTCCAGAGGAAACGGGAAATATTGATGAAGTGTTAATTGATATTGATACATACCGGGACCTGCGGCATCATCAACGAACTCGCATGCCCACCGGGGCTAATATAGACTGATCCATACAAAACCTTCTTCCCACCAAAAGGTAGGTCAAAGGCTTAAAGTCGTGTCGAAGGAGTGCTCAGGGCAGAAATCATCCGGATCAGGGAACATGGTGTGCATGATACCCCTGATGACGTATCTTCCGTGAGCGTCGATGGTGTCTCTGAAAGGGAAAAAAAAATCAAAACTAAGTTAAGTTAGTGAAACCCATCGAGGTATGAGCAGGCCGGCGGTTCTCATTCGTGTATCGGCTCGAATGTGGCGCACATGCCCTAGTATTTGTCCTCCTGTGTGAGAGCCTGAGTATGTGGCGTTCCTGGTACAGCTCCCGGTCATCGCAGGGTCTCGTTTATGAGCGTGTTGGTGTGTGGAAGACTTTTTTCGGGGTATTATCAGGCCCGACGACATTATCTAGCTTAGCGTGTGCCCTCCTCGTGACATGAGGAAAGTGGAGCATTGCAACTATCGCAGACAACATTAAGTCAGTATAGCTTTATCGGGTATGGAGACACGCACGGAAGAAGGTGCTCGATGTCTCTACAGTTTATTGACGAATCAAAACAAGTGACAGGCTGATCCAGTAGCCCCGAAAAGCTGACCATTTCAGTTCCAGCACCAAACGAAGACGACATCACAAAGGCAACCTCCACTTCGCCCATCCCATTCTTGGACATTTCCTTGATCTTTTGCGTTGCGAGACAATCTTGGATGGTTTGCTACGCGTGCTTTGACATATCCTAGGAGAGGCATGTATAAATTCCGCTTCTGGCGAGCTTCACGAGGCTCAGTACGGAACCACTGAAGCCTACACTATAAGTACATCAGTAGTAGCTGGAGGCTAGTGGTCATGTCACCGCTCACAGGTGAGGGAAGGAGCCAGGGTCACGATACTTCCATCAGTATACTAGGCGAAAGGCTTAGGTGCTTGTCAAAATAAAGTCCCACAACCTCTCTCGGCACGGTGCACTTACAGTCCATAGCTCCCATGTTCTCCTTCACAATCCACTCGTTGATACTATTGACACACCTACCGATTGAAGAAATCACTGCTAGGGCAAATTTTCATACAGTTGTTGTACGAGTACCATGTTCAATGGCAGATATGTTGCAGGCAGCTTCAAGTGGTGATATCTTGAGAAACTACACCAGGAAAGTACTCGTTACTGTCACCAAACCTTGTCTTAAACGATTAAACTGAGACTCACGCCTCAGATCCAATCAACCTTCTCCGCTCCAATTCAAAACTTGTGAAGAGTCCGAGAACTTTATCCGTACAGCAACTTTGCCCTTACAGTTGCTTGTAAGGAGGTACTGAGGGATGGGTTTCGAGTTTGAGGTGCAGGGCCCTATTCATCAGATCTCTGTGGATGGCGCGTCGAATGTACTAGTAAGTACTAGTAGTGGGAGTGCAGATAAAATTTGCGCACTGACTGTACTGAGGTGTACTCAGAGTAGCTTGCTATCTGAGAAAGACACTTGAAGAATCCAAGTGTTTGGCTACCGTGGCCACATGGCCTAGTAGACTGCAGCTGATACGCATTGAATTTTTTTTGATCATGTACACAGTACACACACTTCCATCACAGGCACTGCCGAAATGATGAGCCCCAGGATCATAGGGCTACAGACCGTTCGCAACTCCGTATCGTGTTTGCGTACTAGTATACTACGGTCACGTTCGCCGTTCGAACTTCGGCAATATTACATAAACATCCACTGGAAAAGAGAAGAAACCAAAAGGGTTGTTCAAAGCGCCATCGTATCCTCCTTCTGTCCTTCGGCCTCAGGTGCTCAGGTCACTGCTCCCACACCATCGACAGCGGTTGAATCGACATCGACGTTGCCTTCATCGTTCCTTGATACTGAAGCACCTGCCTCCTCAGTTAGTATCCCTGCCCCCGATTCGCGAGCTGTCGCAAAGAAGGCCAAGGAGCTTGAAAGGGAGGCTAAGGAAAAAGAGTTCGTCGACGGACAGCATGCTAATATGATCAATGGGGCATGGCACTGCTCTAATAAAGGAATACTTTAGAATAGATAGATAGATAGCACGATATTGATACTGAGTACTGACAGTCGCAAAACTATTACGCGTGAGACATCGTAGGTGTCAAAAGGGAAACCAAGATAAACTAGAAGCAAGGAACTCAACGTATCGATACCAACAACCTATGAGTAGAGTATGAAAGTACTTGGTTAAAGAAAGTACCTGAACAATGGATGTGCTTCGTTGTCTACACCTAAAAAGCACATTATATATGCACGGTCATCATCCAAGTGCGCCAGCACGTCATCGGCATTCTCGCCATCCTTCAACGCGAGTAATGTTTTCTCCTTTGTTGCTTTGAAGTAACTTGCCAGCGCCGGAATTACGACCTGTTGCATGTAGTTCGTCCCATCTCTATACGTGTGCGGGACCTTCCACTTCAACTGAGTTTCGACATCAAAAAGGCCCTTATCAATTTGTCTTGCAACCATACGCAGGACCGCAAGATCATTGGGATCCCAATAGGGTTCGTCACGCGGCTCCGGGAGATAATCCTCAATCTGAATGTCATCGTTACACACAGCCGCCAGCGCAGTTGCAGTTATTTGGGCGGCCCTGGATCGTGTGGAGATGTTGGGAAGTTGTAAATAGGGCCCATGATGGTGGGATCTCTGCATGATATGAGATGAATGAGTCGACATTATGAAGCATAAAATGAATCACACATACTTGGGAAAATGTCCGATGGAATATCTGTCTTATCGTAGTCAGGAGAGCTCGACATTGTTTCAGCAAGTGGGAGTCGAGTGGGAAGAGTCAGAGTTTAGGGGTATACGAGCCCAATTTATATTTCATCACCAAAATTACCGAATCCAGACATCACATGACAGGTTTGACGCCACCAACGACACATGTACGCGAGGTATGAGATAGGTGCTTGATCTTGTCTGCAAGCCACCTTATCTTTCTACTTTTGCCATGTCTGACGTAGTTTGGCGACCAGAAGATGATTCGAAGATCAGACCACCACTTCAGGAGGGCCAAGTATACAGGCCAGACATACTGAACGTAATCGAGACGACCCTTGATGGACTGAGCGGGGAGCTGAGGGCTTTAAGTCTCGATATTCATGGTAATCACCTCTTAAAGCGGTCTTTCCGTCTTTTCTAAACGTATTTTATATTCACGCATTTTTGAAAGACCATCCAGAGCTGAAGTTCGAAGAAAAGTGTGTTGGATCTTATCGCACGCCATAACCACACGCAAACACTCAGAGCACTGCTGCAGATATGCCCATGACGCATACACTGCATTCATGGAAAAACATGATTTCACAGTGACCAAGAACTATCTTCTTGAGACTGCCTGGGTGGCTACCTACACCCATGGACAGGGAGGGCGCGTTTTGGGAGTCAACTCTGAGATGGATGCACTCCCTGGAATCGGGCATGCTTGCGGACATAATCTTATTGGGATATCCGGAGTAGCGGTAGCTCTTGCAGCTAAGGCCGCTATGAAGAGGCTAAACATCGATGGAAAGGTAGTTCTGCTCGGCACACCTGGTGCGTTGGTGTTTGCAAATATTTGCAATGGTGGGCTTCGTGATAACACTCGAGGCAGCCGAAGAAGGCGGTTTTGGCAAGGTCATACTATATGAAAAGGGTGCTTATGATGAGATGGATGTGTGTTTGATGTCAGTTCCTCTCCCGGTGATGCATATCAGATGACCAGGATTACTGAACTTGCTTTGAAGGTGCCATCCCGCACCTGGCCCCCGCCACTCCATTAGTTTGTCTGGCTGCTTGGCGATCTCTCGCGTCACGGTGGAGTATCACGGCCATACGTTAGCGTCTTTCATACTCTCCATAAACTCGTAGTACTCAATCCTTCGCGTTCACAGTGCTCACGCTGGGTTAAGCCCCTGGGAGGGACAAAATGCTTTGGATGCGGCTGTCCTTGCTTATAACAACGTTTCTCTTCTTCGTCAGCAGATCAAGCCTACTCACCGCGTGCACGGTATATTCGAAGGAAAGGATTGGGCTCCAAACAGTGAGATTTTCACTCTGTAAAAACGCTCGAGAATAATTCTTAATAAATCAGTCATCCCGGACCACGCTATAATGCAGTAAGTCGATCTCAGTGATCTTCCACTCTGAGCGCTCTATGACGAATACAGGTGGTTAGTCCGTGCTCCCACAACATCAGAGATGGAAGATACCAGGAAGCGTGTCATTTCCTGCTTCGAGTCAGTCTTTCACTACCGATATGCTTTTTGTGATTAAGCGATATCATCTATTCGTTATAGGGCAGCTGCACTGGCAACTGGATGCAAAGTTCAAGTCACGATCGGATCGGTAGGAAACGAAATCAGGCAAAACAAAGCACTTGGTATGAAATCGCGGCATGCAGTGACTTGATACTGAACCTCATATCAGGCGATGAACTTGCTGATGTTGTTCTGAAACGCTATGGTGCTATCGATTACGACTGGGGTATCAAGAGCGCTTCTACTGATTTCGTGAGTATTTCGCACATCCATAAAGTGCAACAGAGTTGATGCTTTGGACCAAAAAGGGGAACATTACATACTGTGCGTCTGACATCCACGACTGGGGGTAAGCACATACTAATGGAGTTCTTGTTCGTCAGTGATGCCTGGTCTTCACCCTGGTTTTTGTAAGTAGCACAGGTTTCAAATGAACCATACTAATCGTTTTTAAGCCATCCCGACCATCCCAGATGGCGGGAACCATACTACAGGATTCACGGAAGCCGCACGTTCCGAAGTATCCCATGACGCCTGTTTGGTGGTTTCGAAAGCACTCGCGGCCGTAGGCATGCGAGTGTTGACTGACGAGGCGTTCCTCCAGAAAGTAGGTGTCATGTATTTTCCAAGTAACTTTCTTTTGACTGCGTTTTGCAGGTCAAGGACACATTTGAGGAAGATAAGAAATTAAGAGTGTAGTTACTACCCTTTCATGCGCGCAGAAGAATTTGCATATGTCCGAGTCAAACTTGTATTGAGTGTGTTATCCAGTATTCTGTTAACCTCGTCTCGAACCAGATGTGCCAGAACTGACATTGAGGTGATCTTGAAAGCGAGCAATCACAACGGGAAGCGCCAGCTGTGTTACTCTTGAGCCTGAATAGCAGACTTGTATTGATGGTCGTAATAGTGAACACAGCAAAGGAAGAAAAAGAAGAATCAGATACCAATCGACCTTGCAGATTTAATGGGCCAGGACTATATCTTTGATCGACAGCATTCGATGGAGCTATAGTATAGTACACAGTGGATGCAGGGAAGAGAGCGAAAGTGCAAATTACAAACGATACAATTCATATGTGAGTAAACCTGGTCAGCTATAGAAAAGTGACATGAAGAACGCATGTCAAACGAATGTATCATGCAGCAGAGAAAGCGAGCCAAAATTATGAACACGGAGTCCGTTTGCATCAAATCGAACCGGAGGATGCCATCAAGGAGCGCGAAGGAGAGGGAGACAAGTTTTCGCGTTTCACTGTATCGTTAGCCTCGTGTGCAATGAGGACACCAGACTCATCTAAATCGTCACTGCCTTCAGGTTTCACACTGACAGAAGTGAAGTGTTGTTTTGTTTTCTGGGCCCATTCTGCGATTCCAAAGCGCTCATGAATTTGGAGGTGTTGGACGAGATGGAAGGTAAGGTATGCCATTGCGCCGAACGTGGTGACGACGAATGAGAAGAGTAGTAGTCCTCCTAGTACCAAGAGGAGAACGATGGCTGTGAGAAGGTAAGCGACCCGTCGTAACTTGGGAATGATGTGCGTACCGAACATAGTTTCCAATGCGACGACAGCCGCGAATGCGAATCCAAGAGCAATAGACATGGAGCTGCAAAGTGCGAAGATGGACAGGCCTCTGAAATCTCATTAAATGCTGTCATATCTCGAACAAGCAGTCAACGCACATGAACGACAGTACTGGTAAGATACTCAAAGCAGCGAAGAGGGTCAGAGTTATTGTGACCCATGTCTGATAAAAAGATTGAATCCCACTCGTAAGATCTCCCGAATGTATGGACGCACCATTGTCAACGGCTGACCCTGAAAGTATCTGAAAATTTTGTCTAATGCAGGACGCGCATACTTGCGCTCGATGCTGCACAAAACTTTATCAGTGGAAACTGGAAATAACAGTGAAACGCAACCTTACATATCAGTGTACGCTTGGACGACAAGAGTGCTTCCTTCGAGGTAAGAAGCAAGTTCATCCAAGCCTGCAGTTAATGAGTTTACGCCTGGGTTATCATCCATGTCCTGATATCTGTTACAGAGATTGAGTCCTGACGCTGTGGAAACGAACCAATTGCAAGAGCGACTCGGGGCGTTAAGCGCTGACTCCTGAACAACATATGAGCCACGTGGCTGATTGCACCCGGTCATAAGACTTGATCGAGCATCCTCCGCAGAGTCCACACCATGAGCGGGCGGAAACTAGTACTCAACGTTCAACCCCAAAGAGCAATAACTTCACCAAGCTGCGCTTTCCAGCTCGGAAAACGCGAGCTCAACTCTTCTGATCACCCATAACTTCAAGTACCGCATGCTCAAAGTCCTGTCCAACGCAGCACTTCCGAGCTGTAATGAAAAAGGAGATCAAAGTGTATGTGTGTGTGTCATATCTCCATCGTATTTCCCCTGAGAACCCCTTGATGTGCAGAACACAGGAAGAAAGATATGAGCGGTGAAGAAGCCATGGCGCTCAGTCATATTCAAGCTTCAGCAAACGAAGGTGAGTTGTTACGCATCGAATCAAATAGTGAGACTTATGTATCGCACAGGCATCTGGAACAAACGCCTAAAAGCCAAAACGGAACTGCACCAAACCAGCATCGATAGATACTTCAAATTACTAGTTCAGAAGCAGCTCGTGAAAGCCGTCAGGGTGCGTTCGACCATTCAAAGTTCTTAGTGCATTTCCTCATATGCTTGCACTATGCTAAGCCGCAAGATCTACAAGCTCGCGCACCTATAACCTTCAGTCGAGCTTACGGATGGACCATGGTACACTGACAACGAACAAGACACGAAATTATCAAGCTCCTCTCAATTGCATGTATGTATTACATTCGTGACCGTGTACTTCCCTTTCCTTCTCCTACAATTCAAACTCACAGTATTCTTTTCCGGTAGTCCTTCCCAAAACAAAGCTCCAAAGCTTCCTCCCAAAACGAACGCAAACTCTACTTCATTAGCGATGCACCCTCCTATCCATCTGCCCAGCACATTCAGCGTTTTTTTGACTAAGAGAAAGATCACAGAGATTCGGTTGGGCATTGAGCGTGTTGAGATGCTTTTGAAGGAGCTGGAGTTGGATGGGGAGATTGAGAAGGTCAGTCGCTTACTTCACTTCATTGCTTTCGGAGCCTACATCGGGTTCTACTGACTTGAATGCTTTGATCGACGGTAATGTCAAAACCTCATCTTCCGCAGAGAATATTTGCGACACCTGTTACTAACTATAGCATATACAGTCATGACTAGGCGGCCTACCAATGCGTTCTACCGTTTTCTATGGATGCTTCCGACAAAATAAATATAACCACGACTTGGACAATAGAATTTGAATATATACTGAAGCTAGCTTCGGGAGCATGCTCGGTGCCAACTTGATAAGCCACGTTAGCTGTTGTAGAGTCAAACAACCGAACTCGACAAGCCGTCGTAGCACAATGGTAGTGCGTTGCCTTCCTAAGGCAAAGGTTGCGGGTTCGATCCCCGTCGTCGGTAGTCGGTGCACTACGAGCGGTTAATTTTTGTTGGTTAGGACTAGTCTTTTTAAACTTCAGGCTATACTATGTATGTACAAAGTCCACGGTATAATCCTTCGTTCTTCCAGTTTCAACACCGGATGTCTAGAGTCTTTGTACGCGGACCATGGTAACGTGAACGTACATACCCCCACCATTGTCTAACCTCGCACCACCGTCCAGGCCCCAACTAATTCAAGTTCCACTATGGCGATCTCCCCGAAAGCACCAACCTCGTCTACTACATTCTCGCTCAAGTCTTCCCAACCTAGGCGCACAATCCCACGTCAAAGTCTCTTTTGACATGGCAGAATACACAACCAACATCAATGGGCTCGGTACCCTCCACCTCTTCGACGCAATTTGTACGGCAGGGCTCGAGAAACACGCCAGGTTCTACCAAGCGTCCACTTCAAAGCTCTATAGAGAGGGTAGTCGAGACGCCCCAGGGCGAAACCACCCCGTTCTATTCCCGCAGCTTGCACGGCGTCGCTAAGCGTTATGCATATTGGATCATGGTAAACTACCGTGAGGCATACGGCATGTATGAGTGTACCGGGATCTTGTTCAACCATGAGAGTCCAAGGCGAGGGAGGACATTGTTACTGGGAAGATCTGCAGGGCTGTTCAAGTTGCTGATATCAGCGTTGGCAAACATCGCTGTCTGTACCTCAGTGACATGGGTGCGCAGCGAGATTGGGAATATGGTACAAGTGTGTCTTTCATTCTCTTCAGCTAACCAAGATGTGGACTACGTCAAGGGCATGTGACACATGTTCCAACAACCCGCCCCTGTCCTCGTGACGGGAGAGGCTTATCCTGTGAGAGAATGTGTCGAAAAGGCCTTTGCAATGACGATAAGGTACCCGTCTCCTCAAGCTTCCTCAGGTACACACATCATTTTCTGATGTCTGACACAATCACACTATCACCCAGTGCATAGTATCGCCCTTTTTTGAATTTGAGTGCTCGGAAGGAACCGGCACCACACGTCTAGTTGTGGTTGCTTTCCTTCTCGTCGCGTCAGGCTGGCGCGGCTGGCAATGCCAGCTATAGACGGAAGCTGCTGTAACCTCAACCTACTAGTGATCTATGCTACCTACGACGATTGATATCGAGGCCTCAGTGTTAACAATTGTTACCCCTTTTTAGGTTCCTGTATCGAACGGACATTGCTATGTATCCTAGATGATATCTTGCAGACAATCAATACATCTAATTCCTCGCAAGAAAACCTTGTCTCATAGTCTCGTACCCTCGCTCGTATACTCCTCAATCGATCCTGCAGCCTTGGGGAAGAGCGATTCATCAGGTGCTTCTGCGCCCTCCAGTGTTGGACTTAATGTTTGGTGACGAGCTTGACTCGGAAGTAGCCGAACGAGTGGCTGAAACCTTAAATCATCGGTAGTACATACAGTAGTTATTTTTACATGTACCCTACGTGTTTGCAACGAGTTCACTGTGCTACGTCCTGCGCAAAATCCTATATCCAGTTCTGTACACTTGAAGTAGGCTAGTAGCTCTTGGTCCCTGTGCCATAAAATAAAGAAAAATGCGCAAATGTATGCCGAGTCTTCAACGCATGATTGCATATGTATTCCTCCTTGACGCAGCTAGTAAGCTAGGAATCATCATAATACCTTCTAGACCCATACCTCGCAAGAAGCACTGTATACATTGCACTTCATCACTGCAACTCAAAGCCGGGATTTCACTTCACTGTCCCAACAAGAAACTTGCAATACGTCCATCCACAACTGCTACATCTACTGGCACACCGTCAGAATGATCTTCGAGAAAGTATGGTCATGGGAGTGCTCGTTTGATCAAAGTATTAATCCCTACTACCAGCTTTTACGCACAACACTATGGGAAGTGAACATTTGAACGGTCGACCGCTTGTAGTGTGAATCTACAACTGAAGGTTACAAGCAGAAAACTGTGTATAGGGTAAGAAGTAAAGAAAATTAGTTTGCTGAGCTTAGCCCAACCCTCTAAACTTGTAATTTTAGATAGAAAAGCATCGAGATCTGAGTCAGCGTTGGGCTGCTGGTATTCAACTGACCTCCATGGCCGTTTAAGGCGAAGATAGTATCGGTTGTCGGCATCCATTTTAAGCACCACAAAACAGTCCACAAGGAACTCCCATATAATTTGGTCTATGTCCGAGGGTGCAAAAGCTGTCATGTTGTTAAGAAAGACTAACTTCTTTTCACCACATGCAACAGCGCCTAACGTCGCCCACTCGTCGAAGGGGCGTAATCTTCGTGATAGAAGGACTCCCTCCCTGTAACGCAAGCAAATCCAAGCAAAAACCCACATGAATGACTCCACATCATGGCGATATAGGTGTTTCACTTTGCCTTGTTGACCATCTTCGGTGAGAAGCTTGTGCGCCATGAATAGTGATGTAAAAGTTCGGTCCTGGACCGCGGTTCGAACCGGATTTTTAGTGGACCGAACCGCGGTCCAGTCCGACGTTCGACGGCCGGGGAGAACTGAACCGGGTGTTCAGTTCAACGTTCAGCAGTCCTTGGACTGTTTTGAACGTGTTCGAACGCATCCGAACACATACTTATTTTTTGCATGATGACTCAGCAACTTCATTGATATCCACCATCGATAAGCGTTGCCATCATCACACTTCACACAGATCGGTCGTCGTCATTAAATAACCTTGCGAATAAACTCGGCATCCATCTATTTGATTTAACACTTAATAGAGAAGACCAATAGAGAAGACCTCAACGAGTCACGAGACGACCTACACTGTAAGTAAATCTTTCATGCAATAATGTTTGATCAACTACTAATACTTGTGTTGCGAAGACCTCTGATCACGAAGCTCGATAAAGCGAGAACACGGACTGGGACCACAGTGAGTTCCCTGACTTTCTCCCCCTCAATATGTCAAATAACCAAAGCACTGTAGGTGCCGATGGTGCTCTTCTTGATGCTGGTGATATCACCTGGTTTCACGATGCTGATGATGATACTCCGCTCCCTACTTCTTGTATGCCTTTGCCACCCCCTGCCATCATGATTGCTGGCTCATGTCGCTCTGCTCGTGTTCCACGCCCTGCCTCCAAGCTTATTGACCCCAACAATGCTGTCTTGGGCAAACGCAAAGCTACTGGACAGCAAGTGGTACTTACTGAGGATGAATATGAAGATGCAGTTGCCGAAGACCCTGAGTGGGATGACGCCGACGAAGTACTAACTGATGCAGGTACTGCAACTGACATGGATACACGTACTGATGACAACACCCCATCAACATATCAACAAACTAAAGAGATGGGTGACACAGACCATGAGGTAAGTGAACTCTCCATTCAATTTTTCGTCCAACTTAACTTATTCTTTGTGCAGGGTGCCAAACGGCGTAAAAGTGACTTGACTGCCAACATTCGTACAATATTCACTCATGAGTTGAACACTATCAACCCCGATACTGGAAAGGAAGAGGATGGGCACTGGTGTGAGGTCTGCAAGTAAGTTTTGAATGCTGTGTCGTTGTTGTTACTTATCTAACATCGCTTTTGATAGGGCAAATGGTCTTGCTCGGAAGTTTAGTTTTTTGAAGGGCAGTGTCACTTCCCTTCGAGCTCATATTCGGAGGTAAGCTTTCAATTTGCTACTGATGTACCCTACCTCACATATCTCAGGCATAAGGACCACACAAAGCTCTACAAAGATCGATGCCACAAGCGCAGAATCCAGCCACATATGTGTGCATTACCTGCGGATGATGTACTGTACGCAATTCATTGTGTCCCACTACTCAATCTAAGATTCTAATGAAACTTTTTTTAACAGCTCTAATCAGAAGACATTGGACAGCGCAGTTGTAAGAGAGCATTGAGCACTGGCATTCACCACTGCTGGATTGCTGGACTACATAGTCGAACTGATTGTTGCTGAAGACGAAGCATTTCAACTCGTCGACAAAGGCGCTTTTCGTCGACTTCTCACATACACTCGCCCTGGCCTTTCTGACAAAGATATCCCTCGACGTCATAAGATATGGGAAGAGATTGTTCGCCGTGCTCAAATGGTTGAGTCCCAGATCCGCGAGCATCTTAAGGACATTCCTGGGCGAGTGTCCTTCACATTCAATTCTTGGACTTCGGACAGCGGCAATCCATACTTGTTGGTCACAGGTCACTACATCGACGCACCCACGGACACCCCACATGAGTGGGAACTTAAGTGCGATCAGCTCGCTTTCACTTCCATTGAAGGGAATCACTCAGGAGAGAACATCGGCAACATTCTTGTTCGAATTGTGGACCGTTTTGGGTTGCAAAAGAAGGTAATGTACTTTATTGGTTGTATCATGATTGAACTAATGCAAAATCACATAGATCGGGTGGTTTACAGCTGACAATGCGACGAACAATGATTCAGCCATCAAGACATTTGCCGAAGTGGTTCCTGAAGCCGGGATCAAAGACCATCGTCAGCGTAGAGTTAGGTGTATGGAGCATGCGATCAATGTGGCCGCAGGTCATTTTTCACAGGCAATTGGACCTACGAGCAGCTCGAAACTTGGTGCTGGCAACGACAACAATGACAATGACAATGACAACAATTCCGACACATCTGATGCACTCGGGAAGGCTCTTGCGCTCATTGTGCAGGTGTGTGACGCTACTCATTGTTGAAGTGAACATCACTAATATTATTTGACTAGATCCGAAAGTCACCTCAAGCTCGTGCGTTTTTCCGCCAATCATGTGCTGAGGTCAATGTGCCTGTCCTTGAGCTTCTACAGTGGGTCCGGTGTAGAGACTCATGCCTCTCATTGCATGATATGGCAGTATTCACTAGGGAGTACATAGCACGAACTTGTAGCATCACTCTGTGTGCTATCCACAGCTATTCCCTTACAAGGCGCAGCTTTCCCGCGCAAGGCGCAGCATGCGCGCACGACTTCCCGCGCTTTACTATGTATACGCGCGCGCGCTTTCCCGCGCTTGAGCGCCCTATAGCGCCAGCCATTTGGAAGCATCCATCCACTGTCCACCAAGTTCTCTAGTGCGTATGTTTCCATTTCTCTTATCTGTGTATCGTTCCACCTTTATTTTGGACCCTTACTTACATATAGCTTTACATACCTTACTTGGTAGCGCTTCGGCTCCGCGTGACAGCGCTTAGGCGCCGTATATAAGTGCCAGCATTACATACTATTAGAAACTTTGGAACAATTACTTTACCTCCCACTTACCACCCACATACTACCTAGGAGAACATAGTAGAAATCTATTCTTTGACACCTCGCGCTCATATCTCTTGTCTAGTATCTAATCACCACTTAAGCAAACTCACTCTTACTCTCTCTCATTACCGCTCACGCGCGCGCGCGCTCCCCGCGCCTCGCGCGTACCTTCGCTTTTCTGCGCCTCGCGCGCACCTGTGCGCTTTCTCGCGCTTCGCATCAGCCGACCAGTAGCGCCTTCGGCGCGCACTACTAGATCCTTGCTGCACTCGCTTCCCCTTTAGGGTCGAACGCACTTGTCGTCTCAAGTATAGCAGACTAGGCAACGCGCGACCTCACAACATTTACAGATACAGTCTGGAGCATCATTTGTTCCTCACAGTATTGTTGTTTCTACACCGCGCCTCGCGCGCACCTGCGCACTTTCCCGCGCTTCGCATTGGCTGACCAGTAGTGCCTTCAGCGCCTACTACCAGATCCTTGCTGCACTCACTTCCCCTTTAGGGTCGAACACACTTGTCGTCTCAAGTATAGCAGACTAGGCAACACGCGACCTCACAACATTTACAGATACAGTCAGGAGCATCATTTGTTCCTCTCTGTATAGTTGTTTCTACACCGGACTCGGTGGGCCTCACTCTTCACATGCCTCACTCGCCTTCTTCTGTTGCAGAAGGTGCACTTTTTTTTTTCAATAACCAATATCATACTAATCATTTGCAGGGTGTCAACCGCTTCGTACGTCTTGCTGATGACAGCAATGATGTGCTGAACTTGCGAAAGAAGCAGTATGCTGACTTCAAGTTAAGTCAAAGTGATTGGGTCCAGCTTTCGCTTCTCTGAGAAGTCCTTCAGGTGCAGTGTTAACTTATCTTCGAGTCTTCTATATCTAACTGTTGCACTGTCTTACAGGAGCCTGCCAATGCTACTCAAAGTTTTTCTAGCGCAAAGAATCCAACAGTCTGGTGAGCAATTCCAGTGTTGGAGTTCTTGCAGCAAAGCTGGCAAAATATGGCAGATGACGAGAAGTTCTCCAGCATTGCTGACGCATTACAAGCTGGCCTTGAGAATTTGGGGAAGTGGAGCCGGAAAATGGACGAGACGGACGTGTACTTTATTTGCTTGGGTGCATCTCCATATACTCAATAATTCTATCATCGACTGATACATGCATTGAACAGCTCTAGATCCTAACTACAAACTCGAGTACGCACAAGCACAATGGGACGCAGACGCCTTTGATGAAGGGAAGAAAAAGCTTGAAGCTGCAGTAAGTCGGGCTACCATCGCAGTCAAACATTGTTACTAACTGTTCAACAGTTCAACTATTATCACGCGCCGGTTACACCTCAGCCCTCACCATCCGAACCCATTCCATCAGCGTCCAGTCAACCACCCACACAATATGGGCACTCGTGGATGCGATCAGCGATTCTAGCTTGCCAATCATCTGAAAAAAGCATCGCCGATCCACGTCATGAACTCGCCCTATACTTAACTAGCCCATTGGAGGAGGTGGCTGATGTGGTTCGCTGGTGGGGGGTAAGTACTCTATATTGTATTGACCGGCCTTTGTTGATGTGCTTGCTCTAGCATCATTCCACCATGTACCCCACCCTTTCACGCATGGCAAGAGATTACCTTGCTATTCAAGGCTCTTCAACGCCATCAGAATGGGCCTTCTCAAGTGGTGGCATGACAGATGATAGTCGACGCAACCAGCTTACACCTCAGGTCTTCGAGGCACTGCAATTGTTGAAGAGTGCCTACCGTAATGGGCATCTACAGGCTGCAACTGATGCAACAGCGCATGTCAAGCCTGATGCTAGTGTAGGTGCTACTGACATGTAGAGTACATGTTGTTTTGATATTGCTGCAATCCCAAGTCTCTTTCGCATGCATTGAGTCGGAGATGTTCAGCGTCCGAACGCCAAACTGAATGTGAACTGAACATCCCAAACGCGTTTGACTACGTTCGGTCCAGCGTTCAGCAAAATCGCCGAACCAAACGCAACATCCAGTTTAGCGTTCACCAATTTTCCTGGTGAACCAGACTGAACTGGACTTTTCCATCACTAGCCATGAATGGCACCGTGCCCGTGCGCTCGTTACCCTGAGGACCTTGGTCATTGGCCAACGAGGATAGATCATAGTCGTTTAAGACACCAATCCGCTTCCCGTCTTTCCAGTACCACATTAGGTTGCCAGGGCTGACATCTCGATGATAGACCCCTTCCTTCCACAGAGTAAGGTGGCCTGCAGGCTATGTTAACAAAGAGCCATGTAAACTCAACGAAAGACGTACATGAGATACACTGACGCCAGACGTTGAAAAGCTCTTTCCCCTAAAGCTTCGTGATGGGGAGAAGCTTGCGGAATACAAGAATGTAGAGCACGCGACTTCCCGTAGTGGGTTCAGGAACACCAAGCGCTTCTCGGATGGCGGACCTGGGATTCGTGAACCTGTGGTGCCAGAGCAGTTCGGGGATATGGTCTTTTACAGTATCATGCACCTCAGCAATCTCCCTAACCTTGTTCAAGATGTCGGGCTCACTAGTGTGACTCGCCTCTCCCCAGAAGATCTTGGCCACCATCCCATCCTGGAAGTTGCTGTATTTTTTTGTGAGCATTTTGCTGGTGACAGCGACCACATTAGTGGCCCGTCCTTGCAGTCCGTAGTGAGTCACTCTTTCGTCGTCACTGGTGTGAAGCAGCAGATCCACCATTCCAAGATCTTCATCCCTGATTTTGAATTCGTGGCATAGTTTCCCCTCAACTTGAACTGGGAGGAAGTCTTTGTTTCGGCCCCAATCGTGAAGGTCGAATCGTTGTAGAGCATACAATAACACCATAAATCGTGGGAGATCTTGAATGAAGTTTATGCCTGAGCATTGAATGATGCCTTGTCGATCATAATACCAGATCCACATTACATCGTCTGAAATTTTTTTGGTAAGAGAGTGACCAATCTCAACAGACGAACGAACTCACCGACAATGATAAGATTCAGTAGATAATTGACTCCAAGATTAGCCGCAAACATTTCAGTGGCATACAGACCCATCTGGACGGTGAAGGTACAACAATTCAGAGAGTGAGTCTGAACAATGTTGGGTCTTGCAGAACCTAGCTGCTATTCGACCCTAAAGGGTTTCTGGACCAGGCTCAAGACTCAGAGGAGAGGAAATATCATGAAAACTTGCTGAGTACTCTGACTCCTACTGGTAACTAGTGAAAAGATAACTTGCTTATGTAAGCTACAAAAGTGCCAACATAAGGTAAGGTAAAAACAGTCTCTACAAGCCCAGCCAGAAATGAATCCCTACAATGGTCACATCTAGATCCGTCTCCGCATCAGCGTCCGCGTCGCCGGTGTAGAAACAACAATACTGAGTGGGGCTATATGAAGATGGCTCCAAACTGATATATTTGTGTTGTGGTCTTTGCACTGCCTAGTCTGCTATACTTGCCTGACAAGTGCGTTCGACCCAGGGGTCTGCGGTCTGGGAATAGTCTTGGGGGTAAGTGAGTGATGTGGGGTCAATAGTCCGAACACGGGAAACAATGTCCAAAGGTATAATTACGATGTCCGATGCAAAAGCGTCGGGTCCGATGTTTTCGGGTTATCGGGTTCGGGTTCGGGGTGTCGGAAACTAATAGTAACGCTATAGTGAGCGTCGGAAGAGCGAGCGGTGTGCGCAATAATAACAATGACTGATACGGGCGGTGAAGGAACGATGATATTCGCAATGTCAACTAAGAACTACGAAATATCGGGTTTGACCACTAAGCGTCGGGGAACTGCTCCCCTCTACTTGGATAATGAATAATGCTCGAGGTCAGTCCAATATATATGTAAGTACGTAGAAATGCGGAACCCATAGGCGAAGATAGCGGCCGATGATTTCGGATCCGAAGTACATGTAAATAAACATGAGGCGCTGCGGACTATGGGAAAACATGTAATAGCGCTTGCTACGACGTGAGTAATGTGTGAAATAATGAACTACACACCTAGTGGGGCTAGCAAGACAGGACAAGACACGGGAAGGACGAGTGCACAGGAATTTGCATCGGCCGATGCGGCCTAAACATCGGGTTGGTGGGTTAGCGTCGGATAACATCAGGAAGTGATTAGCATGTGACGGGTATTTGACGTGTACTGTGAAATAGCTCAATACGAGCCCAGCGCCAGCTCGTGTCCTACACCGGGGTTCATCTTGGATTTTTTCACGGCAGATTCCAAAGTGTCTGCGGCCTTGCGCTTGGAACTGGACCTGTCCTTGGAAGGCTGCGCAGCAGTGAGGCCAGAAGATGGCACTGCAGCTTGGCCAATTTAATTTGATCGCAGAATCTTAAACGTAATAATAACTTACATGCAGTGTTGGATGGAGATCGTGCTGCTGGGATCTGCGAAAGGCCTGGTACCGGATCTTCAGCCTGAAGATGATCCACCGGCAGATATTCTGGCTTGGTAGGGACATAGTCTGTCACTGTATACAAAGAGGGTGGTGACTTAATCCCTTTCGTCCTCCCCAGCGTCTTTCTCTTGAACTCAATGCAAGCTAGAACATCTTTCCAGAGGAGATTTTTTGGTTTTGTCATTGCATTCGTGTCCATATGAGCTTTGCATTTCTTCTTGCGCTTTTCGTTATTCTTTTCATCATTCTTCCCGTCGTCCTTCTCTACCTTCTGTTTGTTCTTCTGTTTGCCCTTCTTGCCGCCCTTCTCATCCTGGAAGGAAGCGCATGCACTGTCCAAAGGAAGAATCACGAGGTCAGGCTTCTGAGTTGATTTCTTGGACTGATGAGTTTGGTGCATGGGCATGTCGTTCTGCTGGCATATCATGTCCACGGCGAGGGCAGGAGCACCCATACCATCAACCTTGATCTCTTCAAGACACGCGAGAGCGATGTTAGTGGCTCTTATGAAAGGGCCGTAGAAGCTGTTTTCTACTCCTGGACATACGCTTGCAGTCGTTGTGAGCATGATCGCCGAACTCAAAACAAGCACTCACTATTCATTGAGGGCTATCTCGATGTCAGAAGAGTTTATGAGAGCAGTGAAGTCCTGCCCATTACAAACAGGTAGGACCACCTTGAGGCACTTTTGCAGAAGCTCGGGCTGTTCAGTCTCGGGAGTGGAAGAAGCGTGCTACAGAAGGGCTTGCAGCATGGCATCTGCCTTGCACTCCTTAACCTGTTCAATATCGCATTGAATCCATGGGCGGAGTTTCTTAACCCTTGATGGAATGTCAGGTGTTACTCAATAAAAACAGGAAAGGTGTGCATTGGACACCGACCAGGCCAATGTTCTCACTGACGATGGAAGCCCCACGGCTGTTTGGTGTGGATTCTATTTTGCTAGCCCCATGATGAGCCGATGCATTGGCGCGTGGAGGAGTAGATAGGCATATGCACGGGTTTTGAAAACCCGTGCGGGTGGCGGGTGCGGGTACCCCTCAGGTACAGGTGGGGGTCCGCATTTTGGGTACCCGGACCCTCACCCACACCCGCGCTCGGGTTTGACTGGTACATTACATAATCAAGAACTACAGCGGTACTTACACTTGTGCTAATGCTGACATCTGCCTACTACTTATAGCGTGCTATGCCCCTCCATCTTCTTCAACACAATGCCTACCTTCAAGCTCGAGCCATGCTGACCAAAGTCGTCGCCCACCATTCGCAGTATGTGAGTGTGCCGATTCTCATTCGAGCAAGAGCCATGCTGATCCAAGCCGTTGCCCACCATTTGCAGACTGTGAATCCGTTGATCCTTGTTCGGGCAAGAGCCATGCTGATCTGAGTCATTGCCCACCGTTCACAGGAGTTGAGTCCATCGATCCTCATTCGGGCAAGAGCCATGCTGACCCGAGTCGTTGCCCGCCGTTCGCAGTTGGTGAGTCCGTCGATCCTCATTCGAGCAAGAGCCATGCTGATCTGAGTCGTTGCCCACCGTTTGCAGGAGTTGAGTCCGTCGATCCGCATTTGGGCAAGAGCCATGCTGACCCGAGTCGTTGCCCACCGTTCACAGGAGGTGAGTCCATTGATCCATGTTCGGGCAAGAGCCATGCTGATCCAAGTCGTCGCCCACTGTTCGCAGTTTGTGAGTCTGTCAATCCTCATCCAAGCTTGAGCCACGCTGATTCAAGTCGCTGCCCGCCGTTCGCAGGAGGTGAGTGTCTCATTTTTATATGTATTACCCGCAGGTAAACCCTGCACGGGTACGGGTAAGGGTATGGGCTTGCCATACCCCCCAAAAACCCGTACCCTTCGTGGGGGTGCGGTGTAGAAACAACAATACAGAGAGGAACAAAACAATGCTCCAGGCTGTATCTGTGAATGTTGTAAGGTCGTGCATTGCCTAGTCTGCTATACCTGAGACGACAAGTGCGTTCGACCCTAAAGGGGAAGCAAGTGCAGCAAGGATCTAGTAGTGCGCGCCGAAGGTGCTACTGGTCGGCTGATGCGAAGCGTGGGAAAGCGAAGTTACGCGCGAGGCGCGGGAAGCGCGCGCACGCGTGAGCGGAAACAAGTGAGAGTAAGTGTGAGTTTGCTTAAGTGGTGATATGATGCAAGACAAGAGATGCGAGTGCGAGGTGCCAAGGAATAGATTGCAACTATATTCTGCTAGGTAGTAGATGGGTAAGTGGGAGGTAGAGTAATTCTCCCTGGTAGGTAATGCTGGCGCTTATATGGCGCCTAAGCGCTGTCATGTGGAGCCGAATCGCTACCGAGTAAGGTATGTAAAGATATATGTATGTAAGTAAGGGTCCATGATATAAATAAAGGTGGAATGATATGTAAATAAGGGAAATGGAAATACACGCACTAGAGAGCTTGGTGGACAGTGGATGGATGCTTCCGGAAGGCTGGCGCTATAGGGCGACCAAGCGCGGGAAAGCGCGCGCGCATATACATCGTAAAGCGTGGGAATGGTGCGCGCATGGCGCGTGTTGCGCGGGATAGCTGCGCCTCATATAGGGATAGCTGCAGATAGCACACAGAATGGTGCTGCAAGTTCGTGCAATGAACTCCCTAGTGAAAAGTGCCATATCACACCATGAGAGGCATGAGTCTCTACAGCGGGTGCAGGTAAGGTCTCCGACACCCCGGGGTTTACCCGTGTGGATCCCTAGGAGTAGACAATGTGCCAGTCTCGCCTCACGCCTGCAGGGGACATGACACTAGGCGTTCAATGATTACGCTGATTGAGTGTTGTGAGCAGAATTGGTGAGGAGGAAAGACAATAGAAACGACTGCCTATCTTACATCCGGTGTAGAGACTCATGCCTCTCATGGTGTGATATGGCACTTTTCACTAGAGAGTTCATTGCACGAACTTGCAGCACCATTCTGTGTGCTATCTGCAGCTATCCCTATATGAGGCGCAGCTTTCCCGCGCAACGTGCGCCATGCGCGCACAATTCCCGCGCTTTACGATGTATACGCGCGCGCGCTTTCCTGCGCTTGGTCGCCCTATAGCGCCAGCCTTCCAGAAGCATCCATCCACTGTCCACCAAGCTCTCTAGTGTGTGTATTTCCATTTCCCTTATTTACATATCATTCCACCTTTATTTATATCATGGACCCTTACTTACATACATATATCTTTACATACCTTACTCGGTAGCGCTTCGGCTCCGCGTGACAGCGCTTAGGCGCTGTATATAAGTGCCAGCATTACATACTATTAGGAACTTTTCGAACTTTGGGACTCGACCTCCCACTTACCACCCACATACTACCTAGGAGAACATAGTAGAAATCTATTCTTTGACACCTCGCGCTCATATCTCTTGTCTAGCATCACAAATCACCACTTAAGCAAACTCACTCTTACTCTCTCATTACCGCTCACGCGCGCGCGCGCTTCCCGCGCCTCGCGCGCACCTTCGCTTTCCCGCGCCTCGCGCGTACCTTCGCTTTCCCGTGCCTCGTGCGCACCTGCGCGCTTTCTTGCGCTTCGCATCAGCTGACCAGTAGCGCCTTCGGCACTCACTACTAGATCCTTGCTGCACTCGCTTCCCCTTTAGGGTCGAACGCACTTGTCGTCTCAAGTATAGCAGACTAGGCAACGCGCGACCTCACAACATTTACAGATACAGTCAGGAGCATCATTTGTTCCTCTCAATATAGTTGTTTCTACACCGCGCTTGAGCGCCCTATAGCGCCAGCCATCCGGAAGCATCCATCCACTGTCCACCAAGTTCTCTAGTGCGTATGTTTCCATTTCTCTTATCTGTGTATCGTTCCACCTTTATTTTTATCATGGACCCTTACTTACATACATATATCTTTGCATACCTTACTCGGTAGCGATTCAGCTCCGCATGACAGCGCTTAGGCGCCATATAAGCGCCAGCATTACATACTGAACGGGGTTTCGAACTTTGCACTCTACCTCCCACTTACCACCCACATACTACCTAGGAGAACATAGTAGGAATCTATTCTTTGACACCTCGCGCTCGTATCTCTTGTCTAGTATCTAATCACCACTTAAGCAAACTCACTCTTACTCTCACTCATTACCGCTCACGCGCGCGCACGCTTCCCGCGCCTCGCGCGCACCTTCGCTTTCCCGCGCCTCGCGCGCACCTGCGCGCTTTCTCGCGCTTCGCGTCAGCCAACCAGTAGCACCTTCGGCGCGCACTACTAGATCCTTGCTGCACTCGCTTCCCCTTTAGGGTCGAACGCACTTGTCGTCTCAAGTATAGCAGACTAGGCAACGCGCGACCTTACAACATTTACAGATACAGTCAGGAGCTTTGTTTGTTCCTCTCAGTATTGTTGTTTCTACACTGGTCGACCAGTGTGGCATAAATATGGTGGACACTGGACCTGCGATAAATCTGATGTGTCAGATGTGACCTACAGTTCGACTCCGACAACACGTTCCCATCAATACGCGCACGTGACCCTGACTTATTTGAGTGAAGTGATTCACCATATCATAGAATAGCACCAAGATTCATCTAGTACTCTGTCAAGTTGTCAGGAATAAGATCGATAGCAGTGCGCCAGCTAGTTCGCATGAATAATCTCATTCTAACTTCAATCATGATACTAGTACTCGCTCCGCCGAGTCCCTAAGAAGTTCTTCTAAGAATATTCGATTCATATTCTCAGAGTAGAACGGAGTCCGACGCTCGCGTCATGGTCCGCAAAAAGAAGACACGACTCAGCCACCATTCTCGTCATCCGACACAATTGTTGCCCCCCTTTTAGATCCCTGTGCTGCGGCGCCATGTTACTCTTAATAGACATCATTCCTGTGTATCCTAGGTAATGGCGAACAATCAATACATCTGATCCTTCGTAGGAAAAGTCTCAGGCCATCTCGCACCCTCGCTCATATACTCAGGACCCTGAAGAAGAGCAATCCATCAGGTGCTTCTACGCCCTCGAGTTCTGTACCCTCGAAGTAGTCCTTGGTCCACCCAAGAATCGGCGCAAAGTTTAACTGGTCCATTAGGAAAACGTCATCTTACTTGTTTTGCATTTAGACCATCATACAAGCTTGGGCCTGCGAAACGCTCACCAAAGCCTGGAGGTCAGGCAAAAGGGATATGGCTGTTTACTGGATGAAAGCGTTACTAGGATAAAAAATGGGTATTATATTCGGAACACATAAAGTAGGGGTATATATTCCAGTCCATAAATCAAAAGAAACACAAAGAAGTCCATTGTCGAACACACGACGCGCAAGAAACAGCAATACGACAAAGCTTGAAACAACAGAAAAAACAGTCTTCCACGACTGAACACAAGAAGTGAAATCAAAAAGGGAAGTGGAAGGATAGATGTGCGAAGCTATGCACTAGTTTTTCATCCTGCGGCGCGTTAACGCAGCACAGGGATTTTCGAATTTTCTTGGGCAAGGGTCGAAAGGGCGAGTAGGGAGGGAAAGAGGGACCCATGCCAATGGATGCCGAGGTCGAAGAAGGGGAGAGATGCAAAAAGAGCGACCTGGCGAGAAAAAAAACACAGCAACCACCCCGCAGAAAAGTCACAACTCAACACCTAAACAGGCAGCGTACGGGGACAAGAAAAAGTGGATGATAAAGAACGCCCCGGGCCAAATGTGGAAGACAGTATTCGCTGAAGTGGTGTCGCGCTTGATGAACCAGCAGCGCTCGGCGCTAAGGACGAATTAGGATGTGCGAGAAAGAGAATATCGAGATGCTGTGCAGACAAGAGAACAGGGAAGAAAGCAGGTGAAAGAGATAAAGCAGGGGTATGAGGCAGAACAGACACCGGTTGCAGATCCGAGAGCTTCGAGTGGAATAGGACCTAACCAGAGCAGGAGAAGGGTTCAGGACAACAACCAGCAGCAAAAGAGGGAAGGGCCTCGAGGGTATGGCGACAGCACCTAGGCAGTGAGGTCAAGGGTCTTACGTTCATCTCCGACCATCACATGAGCACTAGGAATAGGATGCCAGAGGCGACTGATCCATCGCTTGAAGCCCGAGCTTCGAGACGGGGAGCCAATTCCTTTCGGTGATAGATGCGTGGGAGATGCAACAAGGGTCGCGTTAGGCGATGGAGTAGCGGGAGAAGGCGATAGGGTGACGTGCAAACTCTTTCGCCCCGGGCAAGGCCTCTCTCTTCGGTCGACGCGGCGGATGAAAGACTCAAGGCTTCGCACAGGAACCGGACCAGAATATTTGTCGCATGGCTGAGGTTGTGGAGCACCTTCGCCCAGAGGTGTATTACGACGCACGAAATGCCGAAACGACCAGTTCGATGAAGCACGCGAGATCTCAGCAGCCCCAGAAGCCCAATTAGCACGTAATTCGTCGCCATCCACCAACGTAGTCCCAGTCGTTGCACAGGCAGGACCAGTGGTTTGCTGTTCCTTCTTTTCCGGTGGCGGTGGGCGGGAGAAGAGCTTGCCAGCGATTTTCTGAAGAACTTGAATGCCATTTTTAGCCTTGATTCTCCACAAGGCTTGAGCGCGGTGACGCTCGCGCTTCAAAACCGGGGAAATGAAATTGAAGTTGGGCAGCGGGTCGTTCGATGGTTCACATTGGCCAAGCGACATGGGAACTGTAGATGGCGTGTCTTTCTCTTCAACCACGGGAATGCAAAGCAGAGGAAGGGTTCGTTTCTCGACTTTCTTCCAGTCACTAAAACCATCTGAGCACAGGAGTCGAATGATCAGAGCGGACTCTTACATTGACGCAAAGAATGGGTGATTAAGCATAGCCTCGTACAAAGGCCTACTTTTGACATCTTTCTGGAGCATCTGTACAAACGTCAATAACGCTGAATGGACAAACACAGTGAGACGTACGTTACGTAGGAGATCCTGAGCCTCAGGATGGAAATCGCTAACAAAGAAAGGCTCAAACCCAACAATGCCATCGGCTATGTGAAGGCCGTCAACGGTGGCCCAGGGAGTCTAAACCAAAGTAAGCCATGATGCATCAAAAAAATTCAAGACTTACCCTTCCGGTGAGCATCTCATACAACATGACACCCACCGCCCAAAAATCGATTGCAAAACCATACTTGGTACCTAGGATAAGTTCAGGCGCCATATACTCTGCGGTACCGCAGAGTGAACTCGCGAGGTAGGGCGCTTGCGATAGGCTGGTGAAAGTCCCCGTGGGATTGTAGGGAGAAAACGATTTCGGATCGTCGAGCATGAAGACCTTAGCTAATCCTAGATCTGCGATTACGAGATGACCATGGGAGTCGATAAGGATATTTGAAGGTTTGATATCCCTGTGGATGACTCCTTGACAGTGGAGATGATAAACACCAACAAGCTATTTTGGTCAGAATGCAGATCACAACTATAGAAAGAACACTTACGAGTTCTGCTGTGTAGAACCTTGCTTGTTCGACTGGAAGAATCCGGCGCGGATAAGTGCGAATAACGTCATGGAGATCGCCTCCTGGATAGAATGCCTATCATAGAGCGTAAGCCAATCCAACTACGCATGTGCGGTCACTCACAAGAGCTAGATAGAGGCATTGTGCGTCCTGAAACCCTGCCTCGACTTGCATACAATGAGCATCACCTATGACCCGCTTCAGGGCATCCAGCTCAACTCGAAATTGCTGGAGATCGCATAAAGCCGCCCCCTGCCTCCTGATGACCTTCAACGCCATGGTCTTGTTCGTAATCTTGTCTTCGACACGGTAAACGACGCCGTTTGCGCCAGCGCCGAGCCTTGCACGGACGATAAAGTCACTGAGGCTTGTTTCATTCTTGAAATGGGATCGTGGTACAACTCCATTGGCGGAGCCCATCAAGGCATCGAGAACTGTTGTACCGAACATGTCCTGATTGAATGGCACCATGCGATTAGTAGCATGAATAGGACTCAAGATGTCCATTGCCTATGGCACCCCGTAAATAAGCACCTCTGAACGTCATGAAGTCTTACGTACTTTGCGGTCTCTGGCAAAGAACACCTCGATGAAGTCCAAGACAAATACTCTTCTCCTGATATCGAGCACATCTGGGTCGTGGTACGCATCGCCAAGCCCTTCAAGCGCCTCAGTCTCTCCCACGGTGGAATCCGCGGAGGTGAGGACAGGAGGAAGGATACCAGTCGCAGAGATCATGATGCTCGCGCTAGAGGGCCACGCAACGACGGCAACAGCGTGACCGCCAGACGATGAAACAGACACGTCATATTTAGGTACCAGGACGCGGTTGACCTTATTGAAGGCAAAGGAGTTTTTGGTTGACTTGATGCTATTCCATGCCTTGGACAAGGACTTGGCCTTGAAAGCGTCAGAATGGATGAGAACGAATACGACGGATACTTACTGGCTTGGTGATCAGGCGTTCACCGGCTCGTCCCTCGTAAAATAATTGAAGAGCAACCATATTGCGAGCTTGATGTGAATAAAGAGTGTTAAATGTAGAAAGAACGTCGGAAATGCAGTCGATGGTGAAGATGGCGGATGAAGAATTTCATCGACAGAAAGCGGTCTTTTATTGATGTCTGCCCCAGGCTGAATTGCGACGAGTACCTTTAAAGCAACAGTCAAAAAAAGTAATTTGGATTCAGACTGCTTGGCTGGACTCAAAGTTGCTTAATAGCATAAAAGAAAGATGAAACTTACCACAGCAATGGATGGTGTCATTGAAGATGCATCACGGTGTAAGACCAGTTTAAGACATCCACTTGAACATTCTGCTCTAGACCGAGCATCCCGCAGGGGACGATGACATTGAGAATCCAATGCAGAGCAGAGGGAATAAGTAATATAGATGACAACTGGTTGCATGTTCAGCAAGAATTGTCCTTGCACCTCGAAGATCTTCGACAATCCTAGTGGTAGACCATCAAAGTATGAAATAACTTGGAAGACCAGCCATAGTAACGCTGCATTATCTGAATCATGCCGCGTCAATACGTGCACGAGACACAACGGTCTGGTTGAGAATCAGACGATCAGTATCCCCGAAGAATTTTGGGAAATCATACCTGCCTGCTAGGCTGGTAGTACCACTGCCAGTGAGTACGTAGTAGATCGTGCATACATCGAGAGCGACTCCCTGTGAGGGACAATTGGGAACAAGACCATCACACTTATTTGTTAATTTGGTAACAAACCTCATGGCAGAGATATTGAGTAGCACTTCTAGCGTCTGCAGTGGCGGCGGCGGCTGGCAGGAGAGCATCATCAAATTAAGTACTCAACGTGACGTTGAATGATGTGGTCAACCCTTAACCAGCTTGACCAAATAATTGATTTGCTTACATAATACTCATCGAAACTTTTTTGCGGTCCCATCAAAGTCCCACTACAGCTGCTCTCGAGTGAAAAGTCCTCAGCAATGGCGACGCTAGTTACGCTACCTTCCCTGCCTCCAGCCTGGTCTCCACCCTCGGAGCCAGCCTCCTCCATCTCTCGTGAGTCTCTCTCGTGATTGTCTCACTCGATAACATATCCTCATTCACATAGCCCTTGTCCAGCGTAGGCTCATTCCTGCGGGCGCAGCCTACCTGGCTCACATAAAACGCACACTCAACAACCATACCTTTGATGAGTATGACCAACAGCTTGAAGAGGAGCGGAAGCGCCTCGAGTTGCTTAACGCTGATGGCCTGAACGGGGAGGATGACCTTGGCGTCGGAGATGAGGAAGAATCTCCTGAACTCCTTCTGCTTGATGCAAAGGAGTGGAAGGTGTGCATATCGGGTCTTGTTTGCTACGATCTAAACTCTATTCATCATTTGTAGAAACAAGACCATTATCAGGTCCTCGGATTGTCACACCTGCGATACAAGGCGACGCCCGAGCAAATAAAGATTGCCCGTATGTGGCGATGTTGGCATCCTCGGACTTTCTGACGTATCGCTACTCCACAGATCGCAAGAAAGTTCTTAAACACCATCCAGACAAGAAAGCCGGTGCATCGCACACCACGAACGATGATGCGTTCTTCAAGTGCATACAAAAAGCAAATGAAGTTCTCACGAATTCCGAGCGGCGGCGCCAATTCGACTCTGTCGACCCCATCTGCCTATCCCTAGAAGAGGATGATCCTTCTGCCTCTGACTTCAAAGGCCGAGAAAAAGACACTGCGTTCTTTTTCAAAACATTCGCACCTATCTTCGAGAGGGAGGCACGATTCAGCAAGAAAATACCCGTTCCAATGTTAGGCGAGAACGACGACTCAAAAGAGAACGTGCATGCCTTCTATGATTTCTGGTACAACTTTGACAGCTGGCGATCATTTGAATATCTGGACAAGGAGGTGAATGAAGGTAGCGATAAGTAAGTGATAGGAGCCACGGGGCCGTGCCTTTTCAGCTTATGAACTTCTCCCGCAGCCGTGATGATAAAAGGTACACCGAGAAAAAGAACAAGTCTGAGCGCGCTCGTCGAAAGAAAGATGATATTACTCGTCTGCGTAATCTCGTGGACCTTACTCTTGGTCTTGACCCTCGAATCAAGCGGATCAAACAGGAAGAAAAGGAGGCTCGGGAGGCGAAGAAGAAAACCAAGGGCGGAATGAGCGCTGCTGAACAGAAGGCTAAAGCAGAAGAAGATAAGCGTAAAGCTGAGGAAGAAGCTCAGAGGAAGGAGGAGGAAGACAAGGTAGCGCGGGCAGAGGCCAAAAAAGCAAAAACTGCGGCAGCTAATGCAGCTAAAAAGGCAAGAAGACAGCAGCGCGCCGCGGACACCGATGAGGCTGCGCCATCATAAAATTATTCAGGTAGTCGTCTCATCCTGATACCATGCACCTCCATACTCTCACCGCTGCGGAATGTCATAAGCATTGAGACCGCATTTGCGTTTTGGAAATTCTGCTTGTAAAGAACGTTCTTCTTTGACAACAGGCTTCGAAGATGTAATATACTTACATGTACCTGTAAATGGGAGTTCAGGAAGTGGAAAGAAGGTAGGTAATATCCGATGGGTGAAATTACAGGTGTCACAGTTTTCTATCCCAGCTCGCTGGAATGAGCCGTCGCCACCACCCCTGGCACGCGCCCAAAGCACAACAAGGAGAAACATTACTGCAAGGCAAATAGAACCACCGCAAGGATGGCAGATTGTGATAGATTGGAAACTCGCGGACAGGGTGGCAGTGACGTTAACGTGAGTCAAGTATCGGACCATTGTCTCGATCCGTGACGAAGGAGTGAGATGATTGATCTAGTCGTGATTGACATGATTCAAGACAAGACCGCCGATCAGAATTGATGAAGATTAGCTCGCGTATCACCGAGTCGCGTCTTCAAGTGTGGATACATATCAGAACATAGAAGCTTAAGACCTGCCATCTGGAAACCGCGCGCTCGATTACAAGTGTTCCAGGAGATTGTTCTTGGGAAATACCGGCTCCAACTTGAAGGTAAGATGTGAACGTTTAGCAACGTTTTGAACACGAATAACATTGGGCACGGGAATGCCACGGAATCCAAGTTCAAAGTTTCAGCGGTTGTCAGAGGAAAACCAAAATACAGCAACAACCGGTCCTGTAGCAGAAAGAGCTCAATCAGCGGAGACCATAACTTGGTGCATGCTAGTTCATGTTTGGTCGTTTATTGTTCTTTGTTTGGATTTCGTGGCAAAGAAGAGATGCGAGTAGGTCGATTAAAGGATGGGCACTCCGGCCCTGTCAACCTTCGTCAACAGTCTTTTTCTTCCTATTTTATGGTCCTTAAAGACCCTCTTGCCTTCGTACCGATGTTTCTCATATCCTGGTAACCTACATCTTCACGTCGCGGGCGGTGAAGTACCACCATTTTGTCCGGGACGGTACTACTCCTTGTATTTTTTTTCTTACCAATATCATCTACAAACATGGTAGGAGACCCAACCAATCGTGTTTATCGTCATGTCTTCTAATCCATCTATCATTCAGGTTCTCGTCAGTGATAAGAAATATGCGTGGTATGTCTTTCATTACGTCTTAGCCCTATCATTCGTCCTCAGATGCTTTCCAGTGAAACGTGCATAAAGGGGCATCGTTCATCCGCATGTAAACACACGGATCGCCCCCTTTTCGAAATTAAGAAAAAAGGTCGTCCAGTCACTCAGTGTGAGCACTGTAGAGAACTACGAAAAACAAAACAAGTACACGTCAAATGTTCATGTGGATCTCAAGATCAAGGCGCCACTGGCGCCCACGAGGCGTCCCACAGCAAGAAGGGTACGCCTCATTTGTTGCTGAAATTAATCTGTCTTATCTTTAAGGCCCCTTCTTTTTATCTAGGGACGCCGAAGTTACCGGCTACTGCTGCGTTTCCTCATGGCCTTCCCGAGGCCCTTGAAACGCTAGCTACATTGCTGCCGGCATCGGACGACTCAGATCATAGCGGTAGGCCCGAAGCGCCATATTTTTCTCGTCATCATCTTCAGTATTGACTTTAAATAAGGTGAAACTTCTCCAACTGGCTGTAGATGTAGCTCCGGTGGCCCCTGCAATTGCTGTATCCCTCGCAAGCCTGCGACACGCCGTCGCTTCTCTGGTGCAGAGCCTCCTAAACGAGACAAGCTTCATTCAGACTCCTCAAAGCACCACGAATCCCTATCTCCTCCTCTTTCATCCCACGTTCTAGCGCGCATTGCTGAGCTCCGTCCAGTACTTCCAAAACCGGCTCACAGGCAACACCCTCTCGATGGCTCCTTACATAATCCATCTTCGAGTGTCCCTCACGGTCATACCATCCGCCATCATAACTACGACTTCAGCCCTTACGGTCGCGCTTACGGGTACACTCACTCAGATCACACTCATGATCAAAAGGGGCCGTCATTGACCAGTGATCCCCGCACGTTCGCTGGACGCTCTGTCCAATCCCCACAGCAAACACTGGGAAGTCAGCATGTACCAGATACCTGGTCGCCTGCTGAGGTCTTCCCCTCTGTCTGTGCCTGTGGTGACTCATGCATGTGTCCTGGATGTACCTTGCATAACAATCCACCTATCACTGGTGGTGCTACCTTTGCCTCCTGCAGCAATCCATCCTCCTGCGCCTTTTGTCTCGATTGTACCATACTGTCCATACCAGCAAGCAATCCGCCTCCTAACATCGAACCGTCCTCTGATCCATCACAATCACAAGAATTTGATGAATGGCTCAGACAAGTCGCACTTAGCCCAGGCATCTCAAATTCGCAATCGAATTTCAACCCATATGAACTGACTACGCCTCAAACACAATCCTATCAAAGCGGAAGACCACGGATACCCGAAACTCCGTCCCCGCCGGTGGGTTGCTGCGGTGGGCGGTGTAAATGTTCTCGTAATTGTGCTTGCCTTCCAGACTGTTGTGGGTGCTGTCAAGGTTGTCAGTGTGATAATCACTGTAATGATACGCGGTCCCGAACGACGTTCGCGGTATCTGGTGAACGGGGTTCATGTTGCAGAAAGGCTGATCCAAATACGAACACTCTTTCAGCTGGAAGGCGCCTTCCTGAGTTCATGGCTATGACGAATATCCGTGACCAGTTGTCTGCCTCCGGAGTGGGCGCTGGCGGTCAAGGGTACTATGGTCAGCAGGGAGCATTTGTGGATTACTCCGAAGCTCCGAGTCGGTCGTCCTCTGGTTCATCCTTGGCAAGTCGTGTCCCAACGAGACCTCCATCCGGCCTGGTGAGTACCCGAGGTTGTCCGTTCCAAACTACGACTAATCTGCAGTGCTCACGATCCTATAGGGCTCTAGGCTGCTGGGGCAGAGTGGCCCTTCTAGTAGTACCAGATCGCCGCCGGCACACGTCGTACCTTCCGGGAGTATCCGTGGTTTTGCTACCTATGCAGAGTCCGAAAGGGTTCGTGGGGCTGCGCCGTACTCGAGCTATAACCCGTCGCTGGATGCAATGCGCTTCGACTAGGGAGGTCTGCCACCGAGTGAATTCTTATGGATTTGATGTTATTGTCCTTCTTTCATTTTTACGTTGTACTTTTCAACTTCTTGCGGCTCACTGGTTTACTGATGGACATGCAGTGGCCGTGATCGCCCCTTATCTATATTTTTCCCGCTATGTTTTTTGCCTTTCTCGACAATACGTCTCACTCAATGGACACGATAGAGATCATCTACAACGTCTACTGGGTTTTTTTTCATTACCATACATAAATTTCCGTGTACGTCGCTACAAATTTTACAATTGTCCATCATCAGCCGCGCGGTTTGTACGACGGCGTTCATTCTGACCCAGCGTCTCCAAGATCAAGTTTATTTTCATTAAAGTCAGCATAAAACATCCATTAATTCCATCTGGTCCTCCTGAGAATGGGTCAAGACATTTTCCTTGTTCTGATTAGTATGGCTCTCCGCTTCCGAAGACTGCAACTGCTCCAATAACACACGATTATGATTCTCTACATCGATCTGATATGAAAAGTCAGGTAAGTATTTTGGCATGCGAACAATATTTGACATGCCTTGATCGGCGGAGGCCACTGGAGATCCAGTAGCTCGGTGCCTTCTGGCAACGTTTTGGAATACAAGAGAAGGTAAGGCCCTGCACCGAGATGCAGGCCCACCGAGTCCTCCAAAACATTTACCTCGGATACCTTTGGGTGTGTGTGAACTTCACGACAGGTACATCATCAAGGTCTCACATACCTGGCTGATGGATGTATCCTCTATCCTCCACCATACACCCTTCTCTTGTACATAGGAATAGAGGTGCTTCCTGCCATACAATCCGTCGTGGACTAGTACTGCACGGAGATCATACTACCGACGGAATAAGAAACTGCCCTGGCTAGGATGCGATGTGAAATGGTGACTTACTCTGACGCGTTGGAGCTCAGGGCAATCTAGGAGCGTTCCAGCTTGGTCACGCATCTTCGCAATGTTGATATCCGAGACTATGAGGGATGTGGACAGTCAGCAGCCTGCCAAGCAAAATTACCTGCGCGCTACCTTGAATTTCCTTCTCTACCTGAGCAAGGATACCCTTTAGTTTGTTAGCCATAATTTGGGTGACACGAGCACGCTCGTCGTCGTCCTTCGCATCTGCCACATTCTCGTAATAATATATCGATGACCGCAGGTCCGTTAGGGTGTCTTTGTCCTGGGAACCAGTCCAGGTCAGTGCATGGGGTGACACAGCGAACAGCGAAGGACGAACATTGAAGTGCGTCAAGGACTTGTTATGCAACACCAGCTTTTGAATTTCTGCATGAAGGCCCCGCTGCTGCGCCCTCTTACTCTCTGCAAGTTCAATATTTTCCTTCAGGAACTGGTCGAGATAGATGTGCTTCGGGTATTTAAACGACTTGCGCTCGCCCGTAACAGTGCCCGAGCGCGCGAGATGAAACGCAATCACCTCCGAGGGCTCGAAGATAACTTGGCGTTTGATACCATCCTTATTACTTGAAAGCTGCGCGGAAAGGCGACCGACGAGGTCATTCGTGTCGCTCCGTCCAAGGGCTTCGACACGGACGATGGAAGCATCTTGCAGGAGCTCTCCGGGTTCGTCATCGAAACTGCTGTTCCCATATTGGAACTGCATGATGCGCTGTCTACGCATTATATGTGAGTAAAATAGAGCAGAGCAGTCGATGCCACGTAGTACTTTGCCTGTCCGGTACGAATGAATTCATGGGCGAACACTTTGTCAAGGGCGCCTGCTACCTTTTCGAAGAATCCTAGTTCTCTATTGATTATAATGCATACACCCAGTTCAAAGAAACGCACGTTGAGATAGCTCGCCTGGCGGTTGCGCAGGGTTCGACCAGGGCTCAGGCTTGAACCCCTCCAGCACCTCATGAGCGTCCAGGTCCACAAGTTTTGCAAGATCCATATTGGTGAATGTTTCGACGAGCTTCCACATGAGGAGCTCTTAAATACTATCAGCAGCGACTAGTCTAGAACAACACAAAACAGTTACCTGGTCCATTCTTTGGTGGTTCAGCTTCCGTTGCGCCTTCGGGTAGAGCTGGTCGCCAATTTGCAACGCGTTCACGAATCTGTGGAACATAGAAGAGCGCATGCAGAACCAGAGCTGCGTAGACCATCGTATGTTTCGTTGGACGTAAAGTGACAGGCCTGCAGTGATGCCTTCAGTAAAGGGAGATGAATGAGTTAAAGACATACCAGCCTTCCTTCCGCCATTGCTGATCGAGGGGTAAAGGTTGGTATTCGTCGCCAGTATCAGCCTGCTCGAAGCTAGCTTGTATAGCGCGATCCAGATCGTCCGCAGCAACGTTATTCTGCTCAACATGGCATCAATATAAAGGCAATGACATGAAGCACGGTCTTACCTACATTCGAAGGTACCATCGCCCAATTGGCATCAGGAGGCCTTTCGCTTGGTCCAAACATCGGACCCTCTTGAGAGGCTGTCTCAAGTGACGCTTTCAAAGCGCGCGATAGTTCGTCATTATTGTCGTCGTCACCCGTGAGGTCGATATTGATTGGTGAGTTTGGGCGAACAGCGGGAGCAGGCAGCGGTCTGGGCTGGTTTATTTCCATCTGCGAGTGCGACGTCCACAACGACGATTGCGTGTCTTCTCCCCTGTCGCCCTCGATCATGGCAGAAGCTGCTTTCTCTACATCGCCATCGAATTTCCGTAGGACGCGCCTGGCCACTTCGTGGTCCACGCTTCCATCCATCAATGTGATTAAAAGTTCAATGTTAATGGACTCTTTCGCCTCATCGCGAAGGTGCATACTTTGCAAACTTGCGAATAGATTAAGTTAAGTGTGCTGAGAGTAGTTGGCTGGCAGAGTGGATTGCGTTAGGATCCAACCTTCTGGAGGCTCAGTACTCAGTGGCCCACGGACATATCAGGCATTTTGATTAAGCGGTTTAGCTCAAAGCATAGACGCCTACTATGCACTCGTTATTTTCAATCATCACAAAACGTCTCAAGATCTCAGGTACGAGACTACGAGTTATGCATCGCTATCCAAATCATGCGTTTTAGTATACTGAAGGCTTTACAATATAGGTGGTCGGCACAAACATTTTATAGTGGAAACAATGTCACAACCAAAGTGCCCGAAGGAAGCAAGGATATAACTCATAAAACACATAAGAGATAAAGTCCTTTCGAAGCGGATTATACAGATAAGCAAGAGGATAGGAGGGATACAACGAGGGAATACTAGCACTGCGGTGAAAAAGGAACATTTTGGGGTGTCTGATAGGATGTAATACATTAGGATGTGAGAGAAGAGGTCGTCTACTAGTATTTCGTGTCCGTTCGGGTAAACGTGGTACAATCCACTCCATTAAATTAAGATGTAGGATTATCTGTGTAGGGTGTCAGATATCGCTCCTTCCTTGTGACGTAAAACACTCACTGTAAATACCGCCATACTGAGCACTCATATACATCGGATCCTGTGGCGGTGTCTGCTGCTGCTGTTGCTGTGGATGAGACTGGCTATAAGCTATCCCCATCTGTGGGAACGACGTATAGTCATTCCAAAATTGCGGATACCGCCCCATCCCAGGTTGATCACTGGTATATGTACCAGATCCGCCCCCATGCAAAGCCAACCGCGCTTGTCCTTGATGAGAAGCGGAGGACTGCGAGTTCCCCGCCCGACGGCTGTCGACCAAGCCTGTGCTATACATCTGCGGAAGCACAGACGTAGACAATGTGTTCGGGAACGAGAGGTATGAGGATCCATCAGAGCTCCACGGATAGTACGATGACTGCGAAGTTGAGATAGGTGCCCCGGCAAAGTCAGCATGTCGCCCCGCACCAGACTCCTGAGAGTGACCGACATCATGTGACGTTCCGCTAAACTGAGTCGATCGCCAGGTGTTGGCGTACCCTTGTCCTGATCCTGGTACGTTAGACGAGCTGCTTGAGGGTAGAACCTGTAAGTGCGAACGCTCGTATGCATCCTCTGAGTCTATTGAATGCTCAGCTGTCCGCTTCTGGCGATCCCGAGAAGTAAATGAAAGGCATGCTTGGCTAGAGTTCGAGGGATTGGCCATGACGTTTGAACCCCGAAGAAGCTCGTTGGCACGTGCTGCGGAGGGCCAGACGACTTCCATGTCTTGCAGTGCATCCATGCACCTGAATAGACCTATCCGTGATTGAGGGTCATTCGGGAAGATGGACGCTGTATATATGATGAGAATACGATCGGCAAAAAAAAACCGAATAATGACTTACAGCTTGTGACATGCATAATGCCCGCTGTGAAAACATAGAAGCAGAGAAAAACGGGTGCGCGTTGCAGACAGTATTTTTCCCGATAAGACGAAACTAAATACATCTCACGTCAGAAATTGCTTGCAGGGGGGCAATAAAATAATTTACCGATAGATGAGATATGGTTCGCAGCACCCACGCACAGCTCATAATGTTTCTTGCTCGTCGCACACGCTTCCGCATCATCAACATTATCCGATTTCCTATAAAAAATTAACACGAGCAACGGGGAAATGTCAGGGCACCCACCCCTTATTTAGAAGGTATGTATTCCTTATGCTACATGGCCAGTTATTTTCAAAGGAATAACAAACAAACAAGAGGGAACTCACAAGGGGCGATGCAACAACAATGTCGTACACCAATACTGCATGTGTAATGTCAAGATATGGGGCGGAACAGTCGCGCCCTGCTTCAATTGTAGATGCTCCGGCAAATCGAGGTACCACTTATTCAGCAGCTCCTCAAGTTGTCCCACTTCAGCGTGCCGAGAATTCACGGGATGAATCGCATACAACGACTGTACGAGCTTAGAAAGAATAGTTGCTGAAACATGGACTCAGTTATGGCACTGCATGGTCAGATGAAGATACTCACAGAGAGTTGCAGAAGCATTAAAGCTAGATAGCACGCGTCCAGTTATTGAACACCTTATTTCTGCACTAGGTGGATACCCATGTCCGCGGGAATCAGGTGGCAGCGACTCATGAGGAATCCACAACTCCATCTCCTCCGCCTAAGTTTTAAAAATACCCGTCAACACACCAGATTACAATTGATATAACGTATTCCCGTACCTCATCCTCGCCCGGTAAGAGTGTGTCGTAATCTCGCTCGAAGATTGCAAGTGGCCTTCCGATATACGTGCTCACATACCCATCGAGCACAACACATCCCCACCATATCCGCCGCCGTTCCTGTAGCTCCCGGGGGCCGAACAAACGTCCGACTTCCGCACGGGCCCAGCCGTCCGCTGCCCGGTGCATACCGAGATCCTGCGCCATACGTACTGCCATGCCCGTGTACACCCAGGCTTGTGCCATGGCACCAATGCCAATTTCGCGGTACCCGAGTAATAGAAGAGCTTGCACGGTACTTGGCATCGAGGATGCATAAGTGTTGTCGAGAAGTTTCTTAGCGACGTTAAAGTACTTATCACCTGCAGTCCACATCGGGGTTGGCTCTCGAACCGACGATGCTGATGAGGGGGGAGGAGAGGACGGTGGGAGGGAGGAAGATGGTGAATAGCGTTCAGCAATGGAAAACATGCTGAGGAGTAAAAGCGGAGAAATATTGCGACGGGCACGGTGGAAAGGCGACGGAGATTTCGAACCCTGACCATCGGACGCAGGCGACGGCGTATCAGCAGCAGATGGATTCGGACGCCTAAAATAGATGTCAATGGCAGTCGGAGGAAACTCGTGAGGTGATACTCACACTTTGTAACCCTCCCAGAAAGCCTCCTTGTGCAGGACCGGGAACGCCGAATGTACATAAGTAAAATATATCTCCAATAAATGCTCCTGAACAACTAGATCAGGCATGACGCCACTCAGATCTTTGTCCATGACAGATAAACCCATCAGAGGGCTATTAGATGGGCTTGCGGTAGAATTCGTCAGCGCATCAATGCTGGGAATTACGGGCGACGTCATATTTGTGTCAGATGGAGGGAGTGGTGGCCAGACACGGGCCTTGGGGAAGCGCCTGTGACATATGAGACATTCATGCAGCACATCGGCGAACAAACCGCTTACCATATTCCTCCTTCATTCCGAGCTTCCTCCTTCGCATTATACCCCAGCAGGTAAAGACCACTTGCCTTTCCGTGATACCGGACTTGTTCGTCCTCGTTCAAGGAGAGCTGGCCCACAGCATCCGCGACGTCGTCTTCGTCCTCAGAATCCGTACTGGCAGGTGCTTGTGTTTGTGAGTGGTCGGAGGGATCTGGAGATGATGAAGAACCAAGTCGCCGGCGTTGACGTCGTCCATTATCGTCGAATGTAAGAGATGGCGAAGTTCTAGATTGCGAAAGTTGGATCGTGCGCGGGTTGTTAGCACCAGATGTAGGCGAGCGAGGTTGTGATGAAGACGGGTGGGAGAATGATAGAGATGATGAAAGGAGAGATACAACGCGATCCTGCCATTCATTTGAAGGGCTGTACAAAAAATATCTTCAACGCTGGTGAACATCGGGGAGAAATAAACTTACTGTGTGGACTGTAAGTCAATGCCACTGCCCTCCGTTGGAGTGGTATTATTTGGGCGTGGTTTAACACTACCACCTTTTCGTCCTTTGACACCATAGGAGGAGGTATCGACACGATTGAGGATCTCACGAGCAAGAGTGTCCTGATTAGAAATTTAAATTTATCAGTACGTGCGTTCAGTTAGAAATGTACGTTGTCAACAACAAATGTAAGAATGAATGTGTCGGGACGAGAGAAAAATTGGGGTAGCCGAGGTACTTGTGAATATCGAGGGTGCAAATGAATGTACAAAAAATTAAAACATGGAGTCTACGAAAAACACTAACCTGTCTTAGGGTGTGCAACACATCCTCCAAACCTGCAGCGCCGCCTGGAGGCGGCCTATCCGCTTCGCCATACCTGCACAAAATTAGTAAATAGTTTTCGTTTACAAAAGTATGATTCAGATGCACCTTTCGCTATGCTCTGCCTCAACAGCGAGGAGAACACCAAGTAGGGCCTCAGTTTGGTGCAGCCGAGCTTCGATGGCGTCAATGTATCCCTTAGGGGGGCCGCGCTTGCGCGAAGGTCCGAGGAATGTACACGCTACATATTGGGTGCGATCAGATCAGAAAATGCCGAGAGCGAGTAATCGGATCATTGTAAGCATGAAGTGTACAGGTGTTGATGCGAAAATAACAGACGGTGACCTCAATTACGGACGAGGCGTATCGTATGTCAACAACAGTGTTCCAGAATGCCAGTCACACGTGGCAGGATGTCATTATCAAAGGCGGTTGCGAAGGCCACAAAAGGGAATTCATGATGTATGGTTGAAGAGGGTAACGAAAGGTGACCGCATTCAGGGTGGCGTCAAGTGGCACCGCGTTGATAGTAATGTGGATGGATACCAGGGAGTAGTTGAGGAGCCGCAAAATTCCAGAAATGGGAGAGGAGGTAATGAGAAGGAAGGAGCGAGAAAGCATGGTCAACAGATTATCAACTATGTAGAATTACGCAGACTTACGCGTCCCCAGCATGATGCAGCTTTTACAAGCCTCGCCATCTCCTGCGCGCTCGCACTTGCATTTGCTTTTGCGGCATTGATCACAAGCTGAAATATGATAAGGCATGGATTGAATAGACATTTGAGGCAAATAGGGACGATACCTTTGCTGCTCCTTCTCCTAACGACTCTGTCCGAATAGCTAGATGAAGTAGCGGGCGCGCCGGAGGAGCCAGGAGGATCAGGCAAGTCGTCGCCATCATCGTATTCGTCCGGGAATGATAGTGAATTCAAGTCGAGAGC